GCGTAGGGGCATCCTGAACAGAATGAGGAGATATACTAACTGTCTGAGTACTTAGGAGATGAGGTTGTGGATAGACTGATTAGGATGGCCGTTATGGCGAGGATGAAGATATGACAACTCGGGATGGCGATGCTAGAGCTCTGTGCGTGGTGGGTGGTTACTGGGATGTCATAACGGAACCGTTCAGCGACATCACAGCCTGCGAACGCTACAACGCTGCATCGAATCCCAGTCTACTGCTTCCCTCTTCTCCAGGCTCGAGTCAATGACCCAAGGCATGATGAAAAGATTGAATCCCCGAAGGGAAGTGCCAAAAATAGTGCCCAGTCAGCCCCCGAAAGGACTACCCAGCCACCCAGAGCGCGCTGTGCAATGCGATAGACGGTCAGTGGTGGACTGCCCTTGTGACCGCAGCCAACCTAGACATAAGTTGAAGAGGAAAGAAAAGGAGAAGAAGGATTGGAATAGCAGATGATATTTATACTGTAGGCAGGCACGTGTGTAGGCGGTCAGTGAGTGAGTCACTCCAGTGTCCATAGCAGAATCCTGGACACACAGCTGACAGGTGAAATATCTCTTCTCCAGGCTCAAATCATGGATTCAAGGATGATGAAAAGATGAAGAACCCACTAAGGGTAAGCCAAAGAATACACCGCAGAGACCCCGAGAAGGTGCCTCAACAGCTGGCCATCGCGCTGTGCAATGCGGTGGTCAAACTGTGGCGAGCCGCCCTGATGACCGCGGCCCACCCCAACTAGGTAAGTATGAAGAGGAAAGAAAAGAGGGGAAAGAATCGGAAAGACAGGTGGTATTTATATCCGCGGGTCGGCTGACGCTAGACCTGTTTGGGACCGTGTGCTAGGACCCACATCTGTCATGTCACGGGAAAGTGAAGCTGGCTCAGGCGCCTTGCTGAAGAGGCAGCTGCTAACATTCACGGTTATATCACCCTGCCCATAATTAGAAACGGCCTTTTGTTGCAGTCTTCGGCTCCTTTTCAATTATTTGGCTTTTTTGACACTATTCATGACCCCGGAATGTCGTGGATGGTACGCTAGTGTAGAAATATATCCTGTGACGATGGTGACATATCATTTTTTAAGAGGCCTTTCATACCCATACATACAAAGGCGGTGTATTTGAATCGATCGTGCCATCACAGATACACGATTTAGATCGCTAGACTGTAGTCGAGCTGTCCATTTCCCCGGGTGCGATCTGTCTAGAGCCTACAAATGCCTGCAAGCAATGCATGGCAGTGCAATGAGCAACGAGACCTTTCGTTGTCCTCACTACTACGTTGTATAGTCACGGTCGAATTAGCCGGCAAAATGTCAATATAGTCACCCGCCAAGTTCATTGTTACAAAGCAGCAGTGCCAGATCTATCCATCAATCTGGAATGTTTGACTTCGTCCATGGATCACTTTGTCAGCCGGGCTTATTATAGTTAGTTCTTTCGCGGACTTCCGTATTAGGAGCGGAGCCAAATTGAAAATAGTCTGGGGTGTAGCTGGTTCACCATTTTGCTTCACGCTTGCTGAACTCGACAAAATGCTGGCCTGGTCTCTTATCCTCACTGTTTGAAGCGATCGAAGTTGTCCTGTCACGATACGGCGGCGTCGACTCTTTACGGACGTTTCTACTGTCCGTTGCCACCTATTACCTGAAATACGAGTATAATTTGAGAAATTTCAACTTTGGAATGACTTTGGATGCCATCGTTGATTGCGAAGTTAACATGCTCTGGCTGGTTGGGCTATACTAGCGTGAAATAGCATCGCTGTCATCCCTAGAATTAACAATCTGCCGCACCGAGAACGCTAAGCGCGACCATAATGTGAAGGAGGCATACCTTGATCTCGGCTACTACTGTTGTCAGGAACGAAGGAACCGATATTATGATATCGCATCTCTCACCGATGGTCGGTGCAGAGAGCATTTCAGGCATGGAGGTCGAATAATGAATGGTATATTCAGCCTGAGTTTGCCTGGGACTGCGCGGGTAGAAGTGGTTGCTGTGGCCGGGACTGTGGATGATACGCCAAGCGGATTTTTGCTGTCACACCTAACCGGCCTCTTGCTGGGCACTGTATGTAATGTTGTACTTGTTGTATGAAAGTGGAAGGCCCCGACGAGGCAAAAAAGGTGGCAAATCTTGCTTCTGAATATTGTGTGGACGCCTAGAAAGGTCCGTCGAACAGGACGTACCGCAATCGATACGTTCGGGTCTCGATCTTTGGGACGTCGATGTACCCTTCGTCCGAATGGCTGCCTCCAAAATATGGGAACCAGTCAGCCGAGACCATGTTTGCTTCGAAGGGATGGTTTGGAATTGCTGGAATACTTTCCCTTGCATTTCTAATCCTCATCGTGTTTGTGCATTTGTTCATTTCCTAATTGCCTCATGAGTCAGCATGAAGGAGGCGAAATGATATGAAATCGGCATTCATCGTTTTCTGAGGTGTTTTTTCCTGCTGGGAGGAGTTTCCCGGCCGGTTTACCTAGCAGCATCATGGGATCTGCGGCTCTTCCCGAGTACATTCAGGCACTCTGGCACACTGTTCATTCGTGGGCCTTTGATATTCCGTTCACGAGTAAGGCTTTGGGTTGTATGTTGTTGAGTTCGCGTTCATCTCGATGTGTTTCCGTGTTGCGAGGCCGCTATTAGTTAATTTTGTCAGCCATGAATAAATGTGCATTACGGGTAAATCCAGACTTTTATTTGCCTCCCTTACCGTATCTCCAACTGCGACTGTAACTCGTAGCTGTCCCCCGCTGGCTTTAATGACATTGGTATGCAATGTAACTCAGTATACGGGCAGTGTTCAGTGTTTCTCGTTCGTCTTGGTGTGTCCTCAGCCGCCAGTGATAGCGCGGGAATATAGTGTCCAGGGAGTCCAGGGAGGTAGATGAGAAGCGAAGAGTTCACAGGCTGTTGAAAAATAAACAAATGGCCCTAAATGTATCCACCGGAACACACTTTAGACCGTTCAGAACCTCACCTCGAAGGTCAAACTGAACATGGTTGACATCTCGGCCCGTTGAGAGGTCTCCCGCACCTCAATAAAAAGGTACGCTACAGCATCTAGTCCGATATCAGGTCAGGATCGGCATGGTTTCGGGTTGATGGAACTTACCAGAGATGATTTTTGAATGCCACTGCGAAAGATTGACGAAGGACAGTGGGCAAGGGCGTGCAAGGGCGTAAAGAGCGGTCGGAGTCTTTGCGGATGAACCCAGACTGCCTCAGGCTCCCCGAGCACCTGCCGTCACGAGCCAGGCCCGTACGCAAACTGCCACTCCGTTCCGCCTGCTCAGGTATAAATATTGCGTCCCTTTCCGATTTATCCTTCTCTTCTCTTTCCTCTTCATACTTACCTAGTTGGGGTGAGCCACGGTCCTGAGGGCGGCTCACCACAGTTTGACCACCGCATTGCACAGCGAGATGGCCAGCTGTTGAGGCACCTTCTGGGGGTCTCTGCGGCGTACTTTTTGGCACCTCCCTTTTGGGGCTTATCTTTTCATCATCTCCTGGGTTATTGACTCGGGTTTGGAGAAGAGAGATGTGCAGCGAATGAGTTGACGGATAACCATCGGAGGGCGTGCGTAGACATCGTACAGGTTTTTACGGTATGTGCGTCGCCGAAATGGAAGCTCAAGTACGGTAGAAGTTGGTAGATATTGAAGAGGGGAACGCTCGATGGCTGCACGCGCTGAGACGTGCGGGTCGATTCAGCAGAAAAACCACCACAAATCACACGCGTAGCAATCAGGAAACAGCGAGAAGCCCAAATGTAGGGGTCAGGTCGGGGAGGTGTAAGAAGGTGTATTCTAGAACTAGCTATCCGGCCACTGTATACTGCCGGCTATGTCACATAGTCTGGATGGCACCCATGTAGTAGGAGGAGGGGTTCTCCCCACTACAATATATAAATTCTGTATCTTTGCGAGTTATTCCCGATGCTTAAGCCGGTTTCACGTTCGTGTTGGATGCGCCGTTCCGGGCCTACATCCTCATCATCTTGACCATCGCCTGTGACAGTTACCGAAACACGTCTCCTCGCGATTATTGTGAACGCCCGGACCCTGAGCAGTAACTGTCTAGATCATCGGAGCTGCAAAGTAGAAACATAAATGCTTTTGGTAGACAGCCAGCCGCGCGGACTGGTTCTTTCGACTACCATTTATCGAGTCTACATTGTTTTCTCCTCGCGTCTTGGGATTGATTAACAAACAACACATGTAGATCTGCAGCGAATCGCCTTTGCAGTATTCCACATGCCATGCACGTTCTACCGTTGTCACTCAAGCCCGTGACACTGCGCCATTCACATGCCTCCAGCCCTGCCCGACAGGCTCCCCTTCCCGATTGGGACTAGCGTCTGATCTCGCGGGTATAAATATCGCCAGCCAGCCAGCCCGCAACTTCCCCCTCTTTTTTTCCTCTTCAACTTACTTACCAAGCTTGGGTGGGCTGCGGTCATGAGGGCGGTTCACCACAGAACGACCACCGCATTGCACAGCGCGTTGGCCGCCTGTTCAGTCACCCTCGGGGGGCTAGGAGGCAAATTGTTTTGGCACACCCTTCGTGGGTTCTTTATCTTTTCATCATGCCTTGGATCAGTGATTCGAGCCTGGAGAAGGGAAGTTCATTCGAGGTTATTCGTGTTGACCTGTCCAGGTAGAAAGTGGGGATCCATCATCAGGTACCGAGCCCTTCATTACTATTTACTGTGTTCCCCATCCTCCTGGCCTGCACGAAAGGGCCTGACTGCTCATCTGCTGTTTTCCTGTGTTGGATTCACTGCTGACCCTCCCATCCACGCGTCTTCTTACGGCCTTGGATCCTGCACGCAAGCTTCTTGGATTGCCAGGACTCCTGGTGTTTCTTGACATCGGCACCGTCTTGAGTTTCAGAGCATAACACCATCTAAGTCCCTCTGCCAAAGCTCTTACCCCATCCTGAAGTTCTCTCGTGCAGCTACTCACGCAGCCACGATGGCCTCCGTGATCCCTCTCAGATTCTACCACGCAACCCTCTTCGGGAGCCTACTCAAACGTTGGTGTCCTCTTGATGGATCCTCCACGATGACAATCTATCGCGACAAGAGATTCGTTCATCTACTCCACCAGTGCGCTGAAGACTGTGAAGCTACCAATCCGCTTTGTCAGAGCTTGTGTGCTTACCCCGCTGGAAGTATCTCGGCCTGGCTACAGTACGCTCCCTCCACTCTCATGATCCGCTCGATCGCGACGGCCATCAGTTTGCCCTTCATGGATATGAAGATCCTGGTAAGTACTCTGTTGATACTATCTATGTGGATCGTACTAATGATCTGTTGTAACGTAGTATCCTGCCTCCAGTCACGATGATCACGCATCATGAAATGCTTCCGTTTCCCTCGATAGATTGCCTACGGTTCCTTTACTCGCCTTGATGCCCTGCCACACCCAAGAGATATTACAATTCACTTCTGAGAGCTGGATAAATAACTTTGGTCACGGTGGGGCGGCGTTTCTGGTCATGACGGGAGTGGGAATATCGCTCTTTCAATTTTCATACAGCTGGGATTTCGCAATTGAACTCTCGATGTTTGAACAGTTCCCTATTCTACGGGATAATACTCAAGCCACTATCATGCGTTAGATTTTTCACTGTCCCTGTGGCCAGTCAATAAACTACTTGCTGTCGGCCTTCCTTGCGTGGCTGCCGTGCACACTCGACCTGTTGAGGCAGTAGACATCTCTGTGAATCGAGAAGCTAGTCTCGACTTGGCGAGAAATGCTTTCAAGTTGTCTCCATGCAATCCATACCCAAGTCACGTATGTCAAGTCGATGATGTTTCAAGTGGGGATAACGTCCTCGGCGCTGTTCGGGGGTTTTTCAGTTCAACTATGCCGGCGGTGGCCCCGAAGAATGCAGTCGATGCGGCGGTCTCATGAAAACGCAGCCGACGGATCCAGACCAGTCGACTGTACTATTGATGTGGTTCAACATTTCGAATGGTTTCTCTCGCTGAAGATTGTCGACATCATTCGCAAACACACAGCACGATTTCTTCTCGTCAAACCGCAAACAGGCAATTCAATTATTGAACGCTTGCAATGTAATTTTATACGACCGTACGCAGTTCATTGCTCTATAGCACCTTCCGCGAGCGTGTCTATGTCTGATGAGGGCTGTTCGAGGTTGTCGCTAGTGCTGGATCTCTACCCTTCTTGCGTTGTGTTCTTTCGACCCATGATTGCCTTAGACGTACAACATTCCTCGTTCAGATCCGCGGTGCTTGTCTGACGTGTATCTTGTCGGGACACATGGGCCTAGGAATTCGTTGAGTGTCGACCCCACACGCAACTGGTGGAGGCGAAGCACAATGCCCAATCTGGTCACGATTGACTCGTCTGAGGGTATGAACGATCGAGTGATATCCAGAAGGTGTAGGGAAAGTTGCAAGTGCTACTACTTTTTTTCATAATGTCAGTCTTGAATTATCTACTGTTCTATGGCTTAAGACTTACCTGTACGACAGATTGTCGCCCATTTTGAATCGTCCCCTGGAAGCTAAAAGCTTCATCCTCAGGCTCCTACAGATGTAATCACATAGAAGAGGCGACAGTTCCCAACTCTTGTCGCACACAGGTGTCTCCAGTAAACATAATCGTTGAACACGTGTCCACGTTAGACCTATTACGACAGGAATGGCTTCAACAATGCCCGGAATGCTTGAACATTTTACGCGCACAATTTGGTAAGAAGAATGTCTTGAAAGACAAGCTCTAAGTTGATGTCAATTAATATCATAGTCGTTTCCACCAAGCCCTCGGTATTCTTTGGTTTCTTCAGCCCCAGTTCATATTGTGGCTTCTTGTGTACATTCTCCAGCGATGAATCCCTGTGGTAATATCATTTCGGCCAAAATAGAACGCCCCGAAGGTACAGATTGCTCTGGTTGTCGGGTCTTGGCAGGTTCCATGAGGGCGACTGATATCAAATTAATCACGACTCTCATGCCATATACGCTCGCTGGCTCCGCCTGTCCGCTCCATGCCCTGATATTATCTCTCGTCAATTTAGATGGCGTGTGAAAACAAGGGAACTTGTCAGGACACAGTTATCGGGACGCACTTCGTGTCGTAATGGTCTTGTTGTGGCCTTGTTTTACGCGGGTTCGGATTCATTGGTAAGTAGGCCGCATGTGTATACTTTTCGAGTTGACTCTGCTCCAGCGGAGCTGTCGGGCACCCACCTTCGCATTTCAAGGATGGTAAGAGAGTATGACAGATGTCGATCGATGGCTGGGAGTAGGATATTCAGTCGTGTCGAATCACGTATCCTGCAGGGTGAGCTCTCTGTGTCTTCTGCTGCCTCAATTGTGGATGCAGGATGCTCTGCAGTGCCACGGTAATGTTGAAGGACTTAAGCGTGACGGTGACTACGCCTCGCCGTTCGTCCACAATCTTCAACGGACTCAAACAGCTGCCATCTGGTCATGCCATCTATAAACATGAAATTATCCTTTTTCACGGAATAGGAACCAAATGTATGTGAAGACTGAAGCGAGGAATTGCAGGTGTTCGGCGCTTGTCGTTACGGCGTGTGAGGAAGGGAGGATGGCAGACGGACATTACGCTGGGAGAAGACGAGATTAAGAATCTAGGCTTCAATTCTATGTTTTAGATAATGTTAGTGGCAAGAATACATGTTTTGTATCCTCGGCGAGGGGTCAACTTACCTGTGGACGGCCTTCTGCAGATGAGACCGATCGGTGTCGAGCCTCAGTGCAGAGCGGCCTCCAAGCTCATGTGGCACGAGATGCTGTATCACGGACAAAACTGCTCCGGGCTTCATGAAAAATGACTCTTCAAACAGGTGCGTCGCTGAACATGTTCTGCAACTCCATAGGGTCGCGAGAGTGCAACGAGGCCGTGCCATCTGTCCCGAGGCGATGATACGTGACGAGGGTGTGAAGGCTTGCTGAGATGCGACAGAGTTGTTCGATACTTGTCAGAGCCTCGTACCTCGATTTGAAGGAGATGAAGAACCTACACATCAGGTAAGACCCATGAAAGATGTACACGAAATGATTCTGCCCTGAGAGGGCAACTCATATTGCAGCAATCTCATATCATGCACAATAACACCCGCACAGCAACCGCCATAAATTTCTCTCTTCTCCATGCCCAAGTCACTGACTTAAAGCATGATGAAAAGAATTCCAAACAAGGGAAATGCCAAAAAATAGTGCCCTGTCAACCCCGAGAGGATTACCCAGACGGCCACCACGGTGTGCAATGCAATGGGCGATCTGAGGGGAGCCGCCCTCATGACCGCAGCCAACCTGGGCGTGGTACGTGAGGAGGAAAGGGAAGAGGAGAAAGAATTGGAATGGCAGACGATATTTATCGTATAGGCAGACAGATTCGGTGACTAAGCACTGCTGGCAGAGTCACGAGATTTCCATTGGCAGCTCCTACCTAACTGGGAGCGTCTCTTCTCCAACCTCGAGTCATGACCCAAGAGAGGGTGAAAAGATAACCCCACGAAGGGGATGCCAAAAAATATGCCTCCCAGCCCCCCAAAGGTGACTGAACAGGCGGCCGCCGCGCTGTGCAATGCGGTGGACGATCTGTGATGAGCCATCCTCTTGACCGCGGCCCATCCAAGCTAGGTAAGTTTGGAGGAGAGAAGGAAGAGGAAGAAGTTGGGTAGGCGAGGAACTTGGTTTTGTTCGTGGCAGTCGGCGCTAGTCCTGATCTGGAAGGGCTGCCTTGGCCGGGGATCAACGCCGTCTTACCGGCCTCAGTTACCATCAACGACTGTGTATGGGTTGTAATTAGTGGTAAAAGCATCAGATTTCAGTTCTTGGTTCATCTCATATCACGGCTAACTATCGAAGTTTCAGCTGTACGAGCCGATACATCCCGATCGAAAACAGTGTAAATGTTGTTATTTGCGCGTCAGTCGATCTATCTGTCCTAACCCAAAGATGAAGCAGGCTAACGGCCCTGCAGCTACATCGACGGCCATGATGTTCATCTTTGGGATAAGACATCACTTCTCCCTGATAATCTAATGTTGAGACTAGATTAGTAATTCGATAGTAACATGTATTACGAGGATCCTATCGCCATCCTCAGTCTCTTCTTCGTCTTCAGATCAATGCCCTAAGAGATGATACTAAAATAGAATCCCTGAAAGGAAGTCCCCAAAATTATGTCATCGAGGCTCCCGAGGGTGCCTCAACGGACGCTCAGAACCTACTATCCACACTCTCTGCGCAGAGCCCCTTGAGGGATCGTAAATCGCCATTAGCCATGTTCGAGTACTCTGAATCTCTCGCCGATATTTTGTCCGGTTTCCATTTATTACATCAGTGTCCGTAATGAACATTCTATGCCCTCCTCTGTATACGCCCACTCGCTCTTTCTTTGTTGGGAACACATTTTTCCTCCTTCAATCTGTTATACTTCCGGCTTATAGGTCTTGAAATTCCCCCAGACAGCCATTAAATTCAATGGAGACACCACTTTAAAGCAACTGGATCGATCGTCGTCATTCGAACGTTCCCATAATGTAATGACTCAGTGTTGACAGCAAACGACGGCACGACGGCACGTGCTTTTACAGTTCGCTCGTTATTTGAAGGGATGCTTTCCCGTTGTCGAGACATGGTGTGGAATGCAAGCCTACTAATGGTGAAAGTTCGCTCTGTTGGTGTAAGGGTGCTTTGGGGTCAACGCTCGGCGTTGTACAGTCCGTGCGATTGCAGATCACCTTCCACGTCACAGTCAAATGACGATCTGGAGGTCATGTTTCTGAATAGGAGTTCGCAGGGGAATGGTCCAAATGGCTCGCATCGTCCGTCAACGATCGAGTAATGCCCTTCCATCCTCTGCGTAGTTCTTTCCTTCGCGATTTTACTGCGGCGATTGTGTGCTCGGTGGGGATTTCAATAGCTATTGTAGAAAGCTTGTACGTCAGCCGTGATCTCACCCTCCTTTGAATCTGTCGCAAACAATATACCGTTTATTTGTACTGTTACCTGATGATGTGCCCATTCCACAATAGTCTTGACGACTCGTTTTCGGTGGCCCACGACTTGAACATGTAACCCACACCCACAGAGAGATATGAGCAGGGGGTTCATTGTATCGCGAACCTTCTTCCCACAATGAAGGCTGTTATTCGTGTCACGGTTGCTGTGTGCTAGACTTCGACTTGAGACTCGGCGGAAGACGGTCGTACTGAGAGGCCGTGCGGGCATTGGGCGGCGTTCCTACGAGGACACCCAGCTGTTATGTTGTTTCCACTACTGTATGTACCCCGCATCCCTCTGTCGAGTTTGTGCGTTGTGGACACGTCTCGTACGGTGGAAGGGTTGCAGGCTCACTATGGTCACCGTCCAACGATCCCTGGCTGCTCCACGCTCGTACGACTGGACTAAGACGAGAATGAGGATATTAAATGACGCTCAAATGAGTCATGAGCTCAGGGTAGGGATCTCAGTTACCGAAACGATGTGATGGTTATGTTGCTGGATGAACTTGTGGCGCGACAACTTCGGCTGCTGGGATCACGACAACGACAGACTGGAATGCCATCATGGACAGACACAAGTCTACAGCACTTGACGCAGTGATAGCCGTGCAATAACAGCCGTCAAGTAATGAAAACAGATTTCCAGGACTTGCAAATTGGATGAACGTCATTCTCTTCTCCAACCTCGAGACTCTGACCGAAGGCATGATGAAAAATGATGGAGACCCCACGAAGGGGTGGGCTAAAGATTATGCCTGAAACTCCCGACGGTGCCTCAACAGGCCACCGCACTGTGCAATGCGGAGATGCTCTGTGGTGAGCCGTCCTCTTGACAACTGCCCACCAGGACATAAGTAGATTGGAGCCAGAGAAGAAGAGAAGAGGAAGATTTCTGCCGACAGACGATATTTATGCTGTCGACAGACACGTGTTGGGGCGGTCAGTCATCACTTAAACACACTAACGGCAGAATCGGACACATGCAGATGGGTGACACCTCTTCTCCGGGCTCGAGTCGTTGACCCAAAGCTGATGAAAAAATGTAGAACTCACGAAGGGTGCGCCAAAGAATACGGCTCCAAGCCTCCCAAAGGTTGACTGAACGGGCGGCCAACGCGCTGTACAATGCAGTGGTCGTTCTGTGGTGAACTGTATTCATGACCGCGGTCCACCCAAGCTTGGTAAGTAAGTTGAAGAGGGAAGAGAAGGGAGGAACATTCAAACTTGCTGGCGATGTTTATACCTATGCGCGAAGGGCGCTAGTCCCGTTCGCATGTGGCCAATCAGAGTCGCTACCGTCCCGCGGGTGTCCTGCCAAGTCGGTGGCCAATTCGACTCATGGGTCACATGATCAACAATACAACCTGATCGACATCCCCTGAATACTATCACTACCAGGGCATCCTCAACTTCAACAGGATATTAGTGGGTGGTTCTGGATAAACATCATAGATTAGTAATTTATTTTATCCCTTATAAATTGTTAGCTCAGGGGTTGTACTCGAAATCAGACTTGTTCATCTACATCCACTGGTTGCCATCACATACGCCGTTCCACCGCCTTCCAACTTGCCATTGCTGCCCGAGGCGGTCACCCCAGGTCGCATCTTGGGTGAACATTGTAACGATGTCGTACTCATATCCGAGCTGGCTGGGAAACAATGATTCAATGAAGTTGCCAGCCAGTAAATCGCACTATGTATTATCTGATTATGCTCTATCGATATTCGATGATTGCAGCAAGATGCCTATTGCCCGTCCGTTTCCAAAATACGTCTCCAACAACACAATCTGCTACGGACATACATATTATGTATCGTGATTTGTTGCGATAGTCAACAGATTCTCAACAGTTCAAAAATCCAGAAAATTCCACCTTCAAAACACCGCCATTCCGAAAATCATATCCAAAAAAAAACCTCGATCACGATTGAAGTTACCTGCAGGGCCCTCTTTAAAGCCCAAACGTGGTCCCCGATCGATCCGATCGATCGATCGGCATCCCCATATCTAATCGGCGCATGGGATATTTGTGGTACATGGCGAACATTCCACAAATCAGGATTCGGAAACGAGGTTAAAATAAAATCAAGCTCTATATCTCAAAACCCTGGTTCGGCGGCATCAAACTGGTTAGTGCGCAAACGTTCCATGTCATTATCGATGATGTCACCCGCCGACAATGGAGATGTCATTCCGGTTCAAGGTACCCGGTTGAAGGGTACAGACCAGGAAGGAGAAGGTATAAAGTCGCAGTATGCTTCTCGAAAGATAGGATACTCGACAAAAAAAAAGTGCGATATCGACCACGAGAAGTTCCTCTGCAATTAAGTTCACAGTTTCAACAATTAAAACGAAATCCTCCGATATGGCTCCAAAGGAAAAGTACACCGACCCCAAACTCCGCGACAAGATCAAAGAGGACATCCAAAACAGCGATAAAGGTGGGAAACCGGGTCAATGGTCTGCACGAAAGGTATGATTTCTATCAATACATGTACCGTAGTTTGAATCCACTGACACGCGCAGGCCCAACTCATGGCCTCGGAATACAAAAAGCAAGGCGGCGGATACAATCAAGGCAAAGAGGAGAAATCATCAGAGCAGAAGCAACTGGATGAATGGACGAAGGAGGAATGGCAGACTAGAGAAGGCAGTGGAGATGCGACGAACGAAGATGGGAGTCGGAAGCGGTATTTGCCGAAGAAAGCTTGGGAGGAGTTGAGTGAGGAAGACAAGGAGGAGACTAATAAGAAGAAGGTGGATGAGTCTAAAAATGGGAAGCAGTTTGTTGGGAATACAGCTAAGGCCAAGGCGAAGGGGAAGAAAGCGAGGAAAGAGGTTGAGCAGGGTAGTGATGACGATTATAGCGAGGCCGAGGATGGCAACGATGATGAGTTTGAAGACGATGAAGAGGAACAGGACCGTGAAGAGCGGCAGGATGGCGACGAACAGGATGAAGACGACGAGAACGAAAGTTCATCCGGAAAGGCCAAAGCAAACACAAAGACCAATGGACAAACAAAGACAAAAGCCGGCACAAAACGCACAGCCAAACAATCCCGAACCTCGAATAAGAAGCGAGAAACCGCCAATAATAAGGAAGCAGCGCACGAACGAGACTCCGACTACACAGACGCAGGTGCGGAATAGACGTGCTAAGGCCGGTATGTCTGATTCTGGACAATATAGCCAACGAGAGAAGATTGGATGTTTATGAGGAGTAGGACGAGTTATGAGAATTTTAATGGTTCGGTTGATGGATGATCTTCGCCATTTCTGCCGACTGTACGGAGAGAAGGTATCTGAAAAACGGCGAAGGCAAACGTTCGAGAGAAGGGATGTCCATCGTCAGGTTCCGTTTGGAATTAATAATGGAGAACAGACTGGCCAATGCGAAATGGGCAGGAAGCGAGAAATTCCAGCACAGCGGCATTAATTCCCAGTCCAAACTTTGCCAGTTTGGGACGGTGCTGGCGACGACTTGGAGTGTTATGATGGTTATGTCCACAAGGACTCGGAGGAGGGTGGAAAGTCAGTTGAAAATGGCCTTCCACATATTCGCCATTGAAGTGGAAGTGAATGCCTCCCGAAGAGTGTCCAAGGCAACGTCCGAGGGGGGAGGTTCGAGGAGGGAGGTTCGACCGAGCTTGGGCTTTTCGTCGAACAAGAGGGCGCGAAGGGAATCGGAATTCAAAATAGGAAATTTTCAATAACAGTCACGAAGGTCAGCAGGAGCCCTGCCAGTCCGACGCTGGCAAACACCTGAACGGTCAGACCGGGGCTGGTTAACACCAAACGGATGAGAACCACGAGCAACCACAATCTTCATCATGGCAGTCAGACAGGCGAAGAGGACGACGTGAGAGACAGCCGAATGATTGCAGAATGGAAGTAAATGGGACCCAACATCTCAAGCCCAGCCGACAACGCACGCCAACGATGTGTTTCCTTTGTCGATGTGTAGAAAAGCGATTGAATGATCAACAAGGGTTGGAATACAGCGAAGGTAAAGATTGAAATCAGGTTCGAAGCTCAGGCTCGTCGTGTGGTGAGTTAGCACACCCAAACCTCAGGACGACTTTGTGGTCAGTATGAGTATTGCGCCGTGGAACGACACCCGCAGGACCAAGGTTCGTTCCTTTTTGCGGTGGTGGTGATATTTTGTGACGAAGCGTGCGGCCGGGAGTGAGGAGGCTGTTGTCATTGGGATGATAAAGATAAAGACATGAGATGGAAAAAGATGCTCGAAATGGAAAGGCAAGGAAGGATCAGACGAAGCCAACAGCAGGAAAATGCTTATCGATCATTGCGAGCAAGGAACTCCAGGATTCCTTATGGAGTTAGGGACGAAAAAAATGCTGTCGAGCAGTGATATTCTACTCCTAGTGAATACGACCGAGGTAAGAAGAATGTAGAACCGTAGGGGCGAGTGGAATGACATTGAGGACGAGGATACCTGTTCGGCGGTTGGGTGGAAGATGGGGGTGGCGATGGTCGTGCCATTCTGTGGAAGACGGCCAGAGGCTTGGAGGACGTGCGAGGAAGACATGTTGAGGAGGATCAGACTCGAATATCAGATGGCGAAGACGGAAAATGGAGAAGCAAGGATAAAAAGGGAAACGCAGGCCAACACAAGGCGGGCGGGCCGGAAGGCACGAGAGAAGCCACTACGGCGACATCCAACTACGACCAGGACCACCTGTTATGCAATGGATTTCACTATCTCTTCGGAGGTATCATTGAATGGTAGTTTTCACTTTCGTCTCATTCCATCCCCGAAACCATCACGGCCGTTCCTATTCCAATGTGTGTTTCAGACGATATACGAGCACGAAATAATAGTAGACATAATCTCATTTTCACTTAGAGGAACTACAGCATACACCTCTCACATCCACCCATCGCACACACTTCAATCTCAGCAGTTATACTAACTACCTCCTCTCCTCATCCCCATCAACCCTCCCTTCAAAATGACTCTGTGGAAGCATATTAAGCCTATCCTCCTCTGCATCCAGTTTATAATTCGTCAACCAAAACCCAACACAGCCAACATAAGCCAGAATAGCAGTGATTCCATAATTCCACTCAAGCAACGGATCCTCACTCAACCCCACAAGCGCCTGGCCAATAGCGGACGAAATCGCATTCATGAACAGCGCAACAGCTTGCACAAGTGATCGCATATTTCGCGGGGCTTTGGTAAAGGCGTACTCGAGCGAGGTCACAGATGCGAAAATCTCAGATATTCCACCGAGGATGTATGTTAGTGCTTGAACCCACACTGAGATATCGGTGTGTTCCCCACGGACTTCGAGGCAGTAATTCGCGTCCTTGCCGCAGGGTCCTTTTTTGTAGATGTAGTGTTGTGTAACTGTTGCTGCGATCATGGAGCAGCCGGCCACGAAGAAGCCGGCCGTGATTCGTCTCAGGGGGTAAAGTTGAAGCCAATTCTTCTGAGACCGGGGTAGACGAAGCGGTCCATTATCGGGATGAAGATGATGAGCGCGAGTGGGTTGAGGTTGTTGATAATGTCGTTGGGTACACCACCTAGGTTCATCGTTGCCGCTTGCGAGGTGAGGTTATTCAGCATTTGGTTGTAGGCAAGCCAGTAGAGGGGTACCAAAGGAAGACCTTGCAGGCTTTGAGACCGCGGCGAACTTCGTCGACCCATTCGTCGTCGAAGGTCATCCAGGCGGGTTTTGAGTCGCCCAGGCGAGAGGGTTTCACATGGTTCCAGAATTCCTGGTCGTTGTCGGTAGGCTTGAACCACGCGATTGGGTTCAATGTCCAGCGGCCTTTCATTGCGAGACTCCACAGCCTGAAGGCTTGGGTGTAGACGGAGCCGGTGGGCGGGATTAGGTTGTATTTGTTTCGGCAGGCGAAGAGGACCATTGGGCAGAGGCAGAACATTATGGTGGGGAGGAGGTAGGAGAGCCAGAAGCCAACGTAGCGTTCTGCGTAGACCATGCTGATTTGTCCCAAGAGTGAGCCGATGTTGATCATGAGGTAAAAGTAGAGGTAGATGCGGGCGACGGTTGAGGCGTGGTCTACGATTACGCGCTCGCCGCTTGGGAGGGTTTTGATGTAGGGTCTTTCATCGGGGTATTGTTCTGCGATCAAAGGGGAGATGTTTGACCTGTAATTGTAAGCTAATGTTTTTACGCCGGTGATGAGGGTACATACTTGAAACCGCCGGTTCCTATGCCCATGATGACGAGACCGATGGAGAAGCACGCAATGGACCCACCGGGGTGCGAGATGACGGCGGGGATGGCAGAGACGATCAGGATGGTGTGGCCGACCAGGGCGACCGCGATGGAGGCAAAGATGGTGCGGAAGCGACCCCAGTATTGGTCTGCGACGAAGGCGCCGACGAGGGGCATAATGTAGGACCAGAATTGGTTGACTCAACACGGTGTCAGCGTGGACTACAAAGAATGGGGGGATTGAAACATACACAGTGTCAGGCCGGTCGAGGCTCGCTGGCCCATTCCCAGCGCACCAGGGACATCATTATTAAAGTCTGCGCCGGCAGCAAGAGCACCAGTCACAGAGTTGGCAGGCAGAGGGCGCTGAATGAAATTGACAACTGCACAGCGTTAAACGTGAACATGTAGAGTGGATCTGGAGAGACATACAGACAGCCGTCGTGCCATAATACGAGAAACGCTCGCACAGCTCGACAAATGCGACAGTAAACGTCGTCCAGGGCAGCTTGCCCGCGACTCTTCGCAGCGTCGCGAGCTCCTCTTCCGTAGGGATGATCTTTAGATCGTCCTCACCATCGTGAGCCCCGTAGCCGACCAGTGGAGCCGGCTCAATAGACAGATCGTGTTTCTCATCGATATGTTTCTCATCGACAGCGACATCATGGGAAATAGCCTTGGACTTGGCGACCTCGGCCTGGTCGACGGGGTCGGATGCGTTCATCTTGGTGCGATGAGGAAGAGAAAGGTGGCGGGTGGGTGCCTTTAAAAGTGGTCTGGGACGGTCTCGCGCTTTCCTCTAGCTGCTGGTCGCAGACGCTAACCCAGTCCTCGACTCGCCATTGCAAGTGCCATCGCAGTCGTGCCAGTTCGCCTCATGGCTTCGGTCTGTCCGTGCTCAAGCAACAATAGAACCAAGGTCCATGCTCGCCAAGTCATTCGCTATCCCCGTCGGTATCCGCCAGAGCTCGCTCGACGCTCGTATGGGATGTCGCGTGCGGCCGCGTATCGCAGGACATCCCGGCTGGCGATGGCATAATCGGCATTGCGGCCCCAAGATTGGTTGTTGGGGCTGCGATAGCAATGGGTGCCAAGATGTTTGCCAAGCGATTCACGCTCGATGCGGGCTTGGCTGGCACATCGTGGTGCAACCCTGCGTCTTTGGGCGTCTTGGCCCGGCGATGTTGATAGACGAGGCGGGCAGGAACGTGGTTGGCGGAGGCACACCCGAATTCAGAAAGGCCGCCCCAGAAGCCAAATCCGCATTGCCTAATTGGGAATAGTATTGAGACTACTGTGTGGTGCCAAGAAGTGGACTCGCCACGCTTATATCTACTCTATCACGCGGTCTGACCCCTTGTCTGCATCCAGAAGGTGATAATTCGTTTCTCCGTATATGCTGGCCCTGGCAGAAAGTTCAGGGTCCAGCCACATCTGTTTCTAGAACCCTCCGATATTGCCATCAAACATCGCCAATCACTCACCCCAGCTATGTTGATTCGGCTGACTCCAAAGCATTGGCACTGGCAGCACTAGCAGCACTAGCATTAGCAGCATTGGCACGGCCACCCGCAGCCCCCGAATGAACGTCTGCATTCTTCCTCGCGCTCCCCTCCAACCCATACAGCACATCCTCCGACATCCCTGGAATCACCATCTCAAATGTCTCTCGCACAACCGTGTATTGATAATACCCACATCGCGCAATCGGCTGTGTCTTCGCCACGTCCAGCAATCCGTCCGTCAGCACCTCGTCGCGGATATGCACGGCCACCACCCGGCCGATCACCACGTCCACCGTGCCCATCGGCGGGTTGCCTGGCAGTCGGACTGTCGAGTGGTACTCGCATTCGAACTTGACGGGTGATTCCGACACCATTGGCACGTCCATGGTTCGCGCGGGTTCCTTTGTTACCCCTGCCCGGGTAAACTCGTCTACGCCATAGGGCACTTGTTCGGCGGTGATGTTGACAGCCTCCCGTAGGTCCCAGGTTGCGAGGTTCCAGACAAAGTGGCCGGTTTCTTCGGCGTTGATTACGGTGTCTTTGCGGGTGCCGTTCACTGTTTGGTTCGAGGAGAACATTACGTAGGGCGGGTCGAAGGTGAGGTTGTTGAATTGCGAGTAGGGGGCCAGGTTGGCTTGGCCTTTTCCGTTCTTTGTTGAGATCCAGCCGATCGGTCGCGGGACCACGCAGGCCTATCCGCGGTGTTAGTAGGGCGTTTGCCGTTGATTGCAGAGGGCGTACCTTGAACGGATCGTGCGGGAGATTGTGTTCTGTCTTTCCTGGTTCGTAGAACATTTTGAACAGTTTTGTCAATGCAATGTAGCTGCTGTATGATTGACTGGCCTGTTTATATTCTCCTCTCCCCGCATAGCGGTTCTCCATTTCAGCCGAGTCGACTGCCGACCGAGACCCACCGTCGCGACTCGGGGACTCGGGACTCGGTAGTGGAGCGGAGCTTGTGTGGGCCGTCTCGTGGAACAGTCCGAGGTAGAGTCATGTTTTTGGGCCTGCTGTTGATGTTCTTCACAACGCAGTGTCGAGTCATCCTCACAGGAAGAGTCGTGTGTTTGGTTGTGCGGGTGAGCGTGACCATCATGGTCTTGGCGCGGGAAAGCGGTTCTGCGGCTCTGGTTGACAGTGTCACGGCTGACTACACACGGATATCAAGGATAGGGAATCGCAAATAGATTAATAGCGAAGAATGTTCGAATTGTCTAGGCCGGTGTAGAATTGCGAGGAGCTCGCTCTACGTGATCCTCACTTTGCGTAGCCAAAGTCACATCACATTACTCTTTCGTGCAGGCTTTACCATCGAGGGGATACAGCCTTGGACAGCCCCAAATAGCTGGACACGGGCTCTGAACAGATCAGAGTACTCTATGAGTCTGAGGAACTCCAGTCCTGGGAAGATGGACCGCAAACGGCTGTTGCGATTTCGTGACAAACTGCAAACTGCCCGCACAACAATAAACAGTACCTCAACAAACCCTTCTCCATACTCGAGTCACTGACACAGGCATGATGAAAAGTTCCCACGGTTATGTGGTGTTGCAAAAATTGGTGGTAAGTAAGTCATTAGACATTAAGCATTAAGTATGAAGAGGGAAGAAAGGAGGTAGAAGAATCGGAATGGCAGGTGATATTTATACCTTTGGGGGAGGGGGCACGTGATGGGTGTGCCTGCCCTTTTGGTGACTAGAGTCACGGGATGATCGATTGTGGGTGAATATTAGGGGTACACAGCTCTACGGGGTGTTTGTGGGATATGTGATCAGCACTGGTAGTAGTTAGGGTATTCGGCTACACTACCTCATTAGTGAAAACTATGTGGACGATATATCTTGCAGAGGTGGTAATGTTATGGTGTTTTCTATGCCAATTCGGGCAAACTGCTTGATGGAAATCAGAGCAGATTCCGTTATAAAAACGGGAACTATTCGAAACCTACCCCGTGACTTGGATTGCGAGGATCCCGGAATCGAGTTCGTTTCGAGTACAGCATCGAATTCTCAAATACGACATCGAGTCTGATCCGAGTACCGCGTCGAACGGTTCGAGTACAGCGTCACGTTCGATTCTAGTATCGTGTCGAGCTCCGTTCGAGTATGGTCGAGTAAGGGGTTCAACCCGAGAGTCCAACATCGGGGCTCATTCTGACTCATTTAGGCCCGGCGGGTTCTGATTCGCTTTGATCCGATCCGTTTAGAACGACGTGGGTTCGAAAGTCCTGTCCCTTGAGTAAGACCTAGACGCTTTCCAGGCTATCCGACCAGGCCGCGATACCGCCGGAGCTCTCGGAATTACGTCCAACGCTCGAGCGATTCTCTGTTTAAAGTGTTGATGCGGCGTTTTGACCTCACTTCAACTCATGTTAAAACCTAGGTCAGAACTCGACATATTATAAGGAGATTCAGAAGCTATCGATACAACTGTTAGGTCTTACGAGCGTGGTGCCGCACTCATTGTCCCCAGTTACAGCGCTTCTATTCTCCATCCTCGAATCACTGACCCAAGGAATGATGAAAAGGTGTAGATATCGCACGAGGGGATGCCAAAGAATACGCCGTCGAGACCCCCGAGGGTGCCTCGCCAGGCGACCACCGCGCTGTGCAATGCGACAGTTGTTCTGTGATGGGCCGCCCTCATGACCGCGGCCCACCCCAACTAGGTAGGTATGAAGAGAAGAGAAAAGGAGGAGAGGTTGTGCCGGCGGATGGAATATGTACGTTTCGTTCGACCATTAGTTAATGGTATAAAGTGGCTTTGTAGCCACCGAAGGCCAATCTCATTCGTCGTCCATCCGTTATCGCTAATTTCAAGAGACCAATCGTTCGGAATATCAATTTGCGAGGAAAACCAGGCAAAATTGTAGGTTTTAGCTTTGAATATAAATCATCGGCGGTAACGCCCATCCGGCCGCGCTGATTGATTCAATTGCTGTTACCCACTCACGATTTCCAGGTTGAATCTTAGCCCTTTTCCCATAGTAACCAGCGCGAGTTACTACCTTAGCAGTACTGCAGAGACCCGTTGCGAAGCGAGTCTCATCGAAATTGTATGTATCATCTTGATCGATGCCGTGCTTGCAAATTACCTATTGTACAAGGTTAAACCATTGTTGAATAAGCTTTGGGCCCTCACAGAGAGCGCGTTGATAGTCTCTGCGGCGGGTATAGCGAGGATCAAGCTCTGGTGTACGCTTGATATAATTGGTAACCCAACTTTTACCTACTACTACCGGAGGGCTCTTGCCGCGCTGGGAGAGTAGTAAATTGGCCATGCTTCGTACCAATTCGTGCCGGGGAGCAATTCTACGATCGTCCATAGAGAGTATCCAATTTTCTAGCAACTTCTCTTCCAAATCGGCCAATTTATGGTTGTTTGGGCGAGTAGTAGCGCGTTCGGTGATACCACTGCGGCGGTCGCGGAGGTAGTCTCGGGGACTTCGAAAATGCGCGCGGCGCGTCGAACAGATAGCTTTTCGTCATTTTCGAGAGCCTGTATAGCAAGTAATAGCCTGCCCTCCTGGTTCTCACGCGAATGTGTAGAAATATTGCGAATTGGTGACATAGTGAGTGAATGAATTGATTGGGATAGGAAGAAGTACGCGTTTTTGGATGAGGTGCGCGGGTCGCTAGGGAATTACGTCAATTGACCTCCGGTGCCTCGTTTTCACGGCAACGATATATTCGCGTCTATTCTCCCACCTACCATCATCGCAGTAATAGCTGATGGCGCTTTGCACTCAACATCGCGACTGTGGTAAGTACACTCGACCTTTTCTTTCCCTAGTTCAATGTATTATCCTCACGTACCCACTTTTTACACTAGCCCCACGATCCGTGGATCGTATCTCGGTCCTCGGAGACTCGAATACTTGGAGGCTCGACCTTCGGACCCTCGGGCCTCACATATCGCATATCGTCCACAACAATGGATCCGACTTTATTCGTCTCACGGGATGCCGAATCATTCGATGAGATCCGACTTTGCCGAGTTCCGCTATAAATATTAACTCTAGTCTTCGTCATCAGTCCTCACCCTGCCTCATCACATACACGTAGAATACTTCAAGACTGCCAACATCAATGGTTTCCACACACCCACACCTAAACTTCCGCTCCTTCGTCGAAGCCCTGAAAGCCGATAACGACCTCATTGAAATCAACGACCCGATCGATCCCAACCTTGAAGCAGCCGCCATCACCCGTCTCGTCTGCGAAACAAATGACAAAGCCCCCTCTTCAACAACCTGATCGGTGCACAAGATGGCCTCTTCCGGATCCTCGGTGCACCGGCCTCGCTGCGCGCCTCCTCGAAGGATCGGTACGGTCGTCTGGCGCGACACCTCGCACTCCCGCCGACTGCATCGATGAGGGAGATCCTGGATAAGATGCTCTCAGCGGCGGATACGCCTCCCATCGAACCCCGTGTGCTCAAGACAGGTCCCTGCAAGGAGAATGTTAAGGTTGATGGCGAGTTTGATCTTACGGCCCTTCCCGCGCCGATGGTTCATCAGCATGATGGTGGGAAGTATATTCAGACGTATGGCATGCATATTGTGCAGTCGCCTGATGGGTCGTGGACGAATTGGTCGATTGCGCGTGCGATGGTCTCGGATAGGAATCATCTTACCGGTCTTGTCATTGATCCGCAGCATATTTGGCAGATTCATCAGATGTGGAAGAAAGAGGGCAAGGATGTGCCTTGGGCGTTGGCGTTTGGTGTGCCCCCCGCTGCAATTATGGCGTCTAGCATGCCGATTCCCGATGGTGTCACTGAGGCTGGGTATGTGGGTGCGATGACGGGTGAGGCGTTGGAACTTGTCAAGTGTGACACGAATAAGCTGCTTGTTCCAGCGTCCTCCGAGATTGTTCTTGAAGGTACCCTTTCGATTTCGGAGCTTGGCGATGAAGGTCCCTTCGGTGAAATGCATGGCTACGTTTTCCCCGGAGATACTCATCTCTGGCCAAAGTACAAGGTGGATCGCATTACCTATCGCAACGATCCAATTTTACCGATGTCATCTTGTGGGCGCCTCACCGATGAAACACACACTATGATTGGATCTCTCGCCGCGGCCGAGATCAGAAAGATCTGCCAGAAAGTCGGTCTACCTGTCACAGATGCCTTTGCCCCATTCGAGTCGCAGGTGACCTGGGTGGCCCTACGAATCGACGGCGTCAAGCTGCGCGAAATGAAAACCAACTCTAAAGAACTCTGCAAGAAGATCGGTGACGTGGTCTTCAACCACAAGGCCGGGTATACCATCCACCGACTGGTCCTCTGCGGCGATGACATCGATGTGTATAACGGCAAGGATGTGATGTGGGCTTTCTCGACGCGCTGTCGACCGAACCTCGACGAGTTGTTCTTTGAGGATGTGCGTGGTTTCCCGCTTATTCCGTATATGGGGCATGGGAATGGTTCGCCGGTCATGGGTGGTAAGGTTGTTTCTGATGCGCTTATGCCGAAAGAGTATACTACTGGTCGGGATTGGGTGCCGGCGGATTTTGAGAGCTCGTATCCCGTTGAGTTGAAGGAGAAGGTTAAGCAGCGGTGGACCGAGATGGGATTTTCGAAGGTTGACTAGACTTGCTAGATGTGTTTAGTGTAAATTGAATATACTGCACTTTGTATTTCTTCAATCGGTCACATATTTAGTGATATTTACCTGATGAAGAGCTGTTGGAACCCGTTCCGAATTGTCACGTTTTTCCAGATTGGCATGATGGCCAATGGGAAAGACGTTGAACTGCACTGGTCTTGGTGCCTGCACTAATTTGGCTAGCTCCTGTATCACTTGGACTTATCACTGTGAACAGCCACCGAAGAGCACATTAACCAGCAGTCCATCACACACCACACCAGCCGCAGGCAGATCGTCACCAGCTAGTCACGAGCAATCCCGCTCCCCGAACTGCCACTCCGTTCCGCCTGTTGAGGTATAAGTATCATCTGCGCGCCCACTTCTTCCGCTCCTTTTCTTCCTCTTCATACTTACCTGGTTGGGGCAGGCCGCGGTCAAGAGGGCGGCTCACCACAGAAAGTCCGCCGCATTGCACCGCGCGGTGGCTTGCCTGTTGAGGCACCTTCTGGGGGTCTCTCCGGCGTAATTTTTGGCATCCCCTTTGTGGGTTTATCTTTTCATCGTCTCCTGGGTCATTGACTCGGGTATGGCGAAGAGGTTTATAGAGAGGTTTGGGGATAATGGGGGCTTGGGAGATCCTGTGCTTTGACCCTGTTGTGCTATGTTTCCCTTCACTTCCCATTTTGACATGCTATTCTTCAGTTAGTGATTGGCTCTGATGCGGCCGGTTGATGCTCTTGACTGCCTTGTAGTTCACAGCGGCCATGTGTCGAGTACATGTACCAGCTCTCCGCCGCCACGATCAACAAAGTAGCATCACGTCTAGTCACGTTATCGCGTAACTCTGATGGCCCTCACTATCAAAGAACCCTTAGAAGCTGAAGAGCGCAGTCCTGTATGTTTCTCACTCTGCGGATTCTCTGCCTCACTCAGCAAGACTTGCTAGAGAGGCTACTATACACAGCAGACACAGAGAGAGCACAACAATGCGCAGCTCTTAAGTCCATCCCAATCACTGGAATCTGCTTCTTGTCGCTATTCATGTCATCCTACGGCGTCTGCTGGCCTTCAGGGTCACAGCACGTGCCTACCCATTCTGGAAGGAGCCCTCACTCAATGCCTCACATCCCAAATAGGCTAGCGTCACCTCCCCACGGGTATAAATATCACCTGCCAGTCCAAATCTTCTTTCTCTTTCCTTCCCTCTTCAACTTACTTACCACGCTTGGGTGGACTGCGGTCAAGAGGGCATTTCACCACAGAGCGACCACCGCATTGCACCGCGCGTTGGCCGCCTGTACTGTTTCCTACGGGGACTCTCAGGCAAATTGTTTTGGCACACCCTTCGTGGGTTCTTTTCATCATCTCCTGGGTCATTGGCTTGGGCATGGAGAAGAGATTGGTCGTGGGGTTTGGTGATGGTCGCAGCTTGAGGCTGGCTGTGTGTCCTCCACTACTCGTGCCCCGGCTCACGTCGACATTGGATTCACCCCGTTCCGGGTGTCTGTGTGAACACGAAGACGACCTTGTTACGAATCTATTTCAAACGATAGCTCTTGTACCAGCCGTCAGAATCCCTTCCTTGGCTCCTCTCATTGTCTCTTGGACAGGCATCAGTTGGTATCCCAACATCTCGTAGGTCTTGTACCCACCGCCCTCGTTCAATATTACGCAAGACCTCGATGCGTATACTGTTCACTTCACGCACGCGACAGTAGAAATATCTTCAAAAAATGCCAGAAACACAGTATTACAGCAGCTCTTGATCACTATTACATCGATGCAATGGTGGACACTGTATACAGAACCGCCTCATCATAATTAATCTATACCGTATAATGCCTCTATTGTTTTGTGCGGTCTCGGAATGTTCAACTGCTGAATTATATAACGGCTCTGCAGCCCGCGAAACAGCTAGTCGCTCCATCTAAGTGGGCATAAAATCTCTGTCCATTCTTCGTCTCCATATAATCTCCGTTTCTAAATTCATATCGCCTGAATTTATCCGTAGAGAGCTGTAGGAAGGACGCGGCGCTGGACAGCCGCGCGACAAAACACTCTGCTGGCCCGTGCGCTCGGAAGCTCGGCTTGTCTTCGCCTCAACATCGTTCGCGCGTCGCCAAGAACCAGCATCAAGCTAAGTCTTGGTATCATCGCGATCAAGCAGATCAACTACGGAGACCTAATTGCTAATAACTAATTACATTCGATCGTCAATCCACAGTGTCTCGGCATGAACCCCGTCACCCAAGACGAAGCCGACCGAGTCCTCCGCCAAAAAGCCCGCAAATACGAATCCCACGCCTGCTATCCCTGCCGCAAGCGCAAGGTCAAATGCGACGGCTCCCAGCCTTGTCGAACCTGCATCCGCCGCGAGCATCCGGGAATCTGCTCGTTCCAGACTCAAACTCCACGCAGGGAGAGGGGCAGGGGTCCTTCGACGCCGCTGTCTGTTCGGACGCCTGCTTCTGCGTCTGCACGTGTTACACGGCAGGGGCATACTAATCCGATTGGGAATGCGGCAGGGGATTGGCGTATTGCAGATGCAGGGGTAAGTTCTGGTGCTGACAATTCCGAGCCCCGGCCGGATGATGCGTCCAAGGATTACGTTTACTCTGGGGATAATTCGGTTGTGTCGATCTTGCGGCTTAGAGGGCTGAATGCGAATGATTCCGTTGCGAGGGAGGTTGGTTCTGTGCTTGGGTTGCAGAATACGTTTAGTTCGTACCCGTTTATGGATTCGAAGACGCCGGGTGAGCGGTGGCGGTCGTTGTTGGGTGTTTTGCCTCAGCGGGCGGAAGTTTTGAAGTAAGTATTCCCCATGCCCTGCGATTAGCAGCTGAGACTGATCTGTAAGGTTCTTCCACTACTACCGCATCACTGCGTACCCGTTCAACCCCATCCTCGCTGATATGGATCGTTTCGAGTTGGATCTTTGCACGTACTTGAATGCGCACGCTGGAGGGGACCTGCGTAATCCCGAATGTATCTCGGAGCGTTGGGCGACTGATAAGTCGGTTGGTCATATCAGTTTGTTGCTCGCTACGCTTGCTGCTGGGGCCCATTACTCGGATATTGAGTATCCGCAGCGATTAGAGCTTTCTACGGATTTTGGTAAGTTCGCACCCAACTAATCAAGATATCACTATTGACTATGTACAATTTTGATAAGCCCGCCGATCCTTTCACGCCCTTCGGCTCGCGAATTTCCTCTTCCGCCCTTCGCTGGACATCATCCAAGCCCTGCTGGTCCTAGGAAACACCCTACAAAATATGGGCCAGTCCGACGCAGCGTGGGCTTTGCTCGGTACAACAGTCCGACTGGCGCAGACAATGGGCTTGCACACAGAACGGGGCTCAGCTCATTGGCCCGAATATGTTCGATCAAAAGCGAAGGCTCTCTGGTAAGAAATGACCCGTAAGCACTCCCCACGGCTGCTAACGACTGTAGGTCAACAATTGTCTGGCAGGATAGTCTGTTATGCCTCTGCTACGACCGAGCCCCCATTGTCTCCGTCTCCGGCTGGCCCTCCGGCCCATCCTTCTTCGAGCGAACAAACCTCTCCTACGCAGACACGATGCACTACCTCTGTCGACTCGGCTTGATCATCATGTGCCCGCAAGGCTACGGCGTAACCGAAGCAGACCGTGCGATCGAAACCCTGCAAAATATGGATGCTCTCCACCAGCGCGGACAACCCCACCTCCTAGACCGAGGAAATTGCGCAACAATGCAGCAGCACCTAGAACACCTCGCGCTGAAAATGCACACTTCTTTCTGCGTATCCGTCATCTGCCGTCCGGCGATGAAACAATCACAGACGCAACTACCGCATATGGAGATCCTGCGCTCGCGCGCGAAGGGCAGTCTCATCGATGCTTCGAGGGCATTTCTCGATTTCGAGGCGCTGAGCGTTGTCCCGCTACGCAGCTGGTCGATGGTTCATACTGTCCTTAGCTCGACGTTGTTGCTGTGTATCTGGGAGGAGACGCGGAGTGACCCTGAATGTCGGGATTTGCAGCAGAGGGTTATTGACGTGTTTTCCTCGTCAGATTCGAGGTCGGATGATAGGACGGTGTTAAATGAGACGGATGGACAGTGGTTATCTGAGCGGCATATTCGGGCGCTTGTTACGTTGAGAAGTGCGCTTGATCGGGAGGAGGACCGGGGAGTTGTTGACAGTGAGCAGCTTGATACGAGGTTAGGGGCTGTGCCGCCGTTTAATGCTGGGTATGTAGAGGCAATCACGTCGTCTTTTGTGGCGCTGCTGACGTTTCAGTGATCTCGATGGCGATTTCGACTTGTCGAATCCGTTTGATATTTCGCCTGTTACGTATCTTGATTCGATTATGAATGGTAAGTCTGATTTTCCAGAATATGGGGCGAATGCTGATATCGACAGTGCCCATTTTCGATATGACGCAGGAATATGGGTTCCCGTGACCTGACGAAGACTCGCCGTCTACACGTATATATCCCAGGTGTTACAGGCCTCTGCGGAGCGGGAGCTACGAAGGCTGAGTGCCTGATACCAGCGATCGATCTACACACAAGGGCGCACAGGGAAAGAAGAGCACCGGAGTATACAGCAACTGAGGGACATTGATCCCGCATGCTCTCTGCCCGATTCGCGGTATGCCCGTACCAGACGAGGTGACCGGACACCGGTGCAAGGGGCTGATGCCTGTCCACACCGGCAAGCTCAAGCATCAACACCCAGAAACAGTTTGTATTGAGCCCACTTTTCTGTATTGATTAAAATACACGGCATCCTGACCCGATCCACCAAGTCCCACCAACAGAATGCACCGGGATCGCGCTGCTCGGAGGCTCGGAGGCTCGGACATGCTCGGTTATGAAAATCGGGCCGAGTGCAGTTCCTGTTGATTTGTTTCGCATTGTGATTTATTCGTTTTTTATTCAAGCTCTGACGGCTTGCCCAGTTTGCCACAGGCCGATATATATTAGCTGGCCCAGACTGCGTTGACGGTGATCATCCTCTACCCACAACGAGCCAAATATCACTCACTCACTACCTTCATTACGAACTACACCCGCGCCTACACCCACACATACAAACCATCACCAGCTCTACTTCAATGCTCTCCCTACTCTCGGGCATCCAAGCTCCCCAATCTGGCCGCGCCTCCCCAGGAAGCTCCCACACCCACGAAACAATGCCCGCCGAAAACCCCCATCACCCAAAAACCCGCCGGCGCAAACGCATAATCGTCGCAATGACCGGCGCAACAGGCGCCATCCTGGGCATAAAAACCCTCATCGCCCTCCGGCGGCTAAACATCGAAACGCACCTCGTTATGTCCAAATGGGCCGAAGCAACAATCAAATACGAAACAGACTACCACCCATCAAACGTGAAAGTCCTCGCTGACCACGTCCACAACATCAACGACATGGCCGCGCCCATCTCAAGCGGCTCGTTCAAGACAGATGGCATGATTGTTGTGCCGTGTAGTATGAAGACCCTGGCCGGTGTTCATTCTGGGTTCTGCGATGATCTTATCTCAAGAACGGCGGATGTTATGCTTAAGGAAAGACGGAAGTTGGTACTTGTTGTGCGGGAGACACCGCTTAGTGAGATTCATTTGAGGAATATGCTGGAGATTACGAGGGCTGGTGCGGTTATCTTTCCGCCTGTTCCGGCGTACTATATTCGCGCTGCGGGCATTGAGGAGTTGGTTGATCAGAGTGTTGGGCGGATGTTGGATTTGTTTGATTTGGATACTGGGGATTTTGAGAGGTGGGAGGGGTGGCAGGAGAAGTAGGTAATGTTGGTGGATTTGCATTTGAGGCGTTTGATGGGTTGGACTGCTTGCGATGTTTGTAATTAGGCCTGTTATAATTAGAGAATTTAATCGATATTGCATGTTAATGAATGGATCAGGATCACAGGTGTATACAACTTCGTAGAAAACACTCGGAATCGTATCGTGTATGCAGAAGGATATCGTCCAGGATATTCTGGATGTGGCTGTGACGGGGACCTCCAAGGGGGAGTCGCCGTACGAGAAGCTACGCAGCTAGGCATTGTAAAACACTGCTATTGAACTATTGAACAGAGTAGTCGAATTGCAACTATGCTGCGAGCCAAAGGAGAACATGATTTGAACGGTGATGCTGAAGGTGAAGTGAGGTATCCGTGGGTAATTCCAATTAGAACAACGGCGATATCTGGAGACCAAGGCAAATGGGGGAACCGAGACTCTTGAGTGAAATTGGACAGCTGAATGGGTGCTACGGCTTTCTCCAAGACCGAATCATTGATTCAAGCATGATGAAAAGTGTAGAAGCCCCCACTAAGGAGTGCCAGAGAATACGCCACCGAGGGTGTCCCGACAGGCGAACACGGCACTGTGCAATGCGGTGGACGTCTTGTAGTGAAGCGCCCTCATGATATCGGTCCACTGCAACTAGGTAAGTATGAAGAAGGAAGAGAAGGGGAGGAAGTTGCTAACTGGCAGGTGATGTTTATACCCACGCATGGTGACGCTAGGCCTGTTCGGGGCGGGACCTAGCCTTCGCGTGATATATGCCCAAGTGACTCTATACCATATTCCGCTCACTACCCGAGGTTGCTGACAGAGGCAAGACGTAACAGAGAGCCTCGGAATACTCTTACGCCTTTCCCAACGTAAAGAACGGCCAAACCAGTGCTATATCCGCATCCCTGATGATAATGCAGCCACTACATATAGTAAGGTTACTATGTGTGCTAATCCAACCATGAAATTCAAATGAAGGAGGCCCAGGACGCCATCTCCAAGCCTCCATGAGCTGCGTCGGCCTCGTTCTCATCCTCAGAATGCACCTCTGCCATAGGGAATTGGACCGGAATGGTTGTATCTGCGGAAAGTTGCTCCCTTTAGGCGGTACCTTGTTCTGCTTCAAAGAACTGTAGAGGTCCACTCTTCCCTTGTACTCCAGGTAAGCTACCACGCGCCGATTATGCTCGGTGAGCTGGGAGATGTCTAGGGCGGGTCGACTGGGATAATCCTTGGCTTGATTCACGGTGTAGTCGAAGCTGGTATCCTTGACCTGTTTGACGCATTTATCCATTGCTGGATCTTCCCACGCTGAGTAGTTTCGAACCCGGCACAGTGGGGTAAGATCCGCTGTCTCCATGTCGTAACATATGCCCTGGTGGCCCTGCGCCATTATGACGCGCCTGCCGTCATGTGTCGTTGTTCTCACTATTATCGTTGTTCGTCGTCGTCGTCTGTCAGCAATTTCGGTTGCAGTAGTCGCTATTTGCTCGCGGTAAAGTCGTGACTCGTCGTGCTAGTCGTTGACGGTATTTCTCCTGATCATCATTCTTTGTGCTAGTAATTATTATTTCGTGCCTTTGTCGTGGTCGTTCTTGGCGTCGCTATTTTCGTCATCGTTATTTGCTATTGTCGTCGTCCTTCGTCCTCGTCATCCTCGCTGGTGTTGTTTGCCCTCGTCATTATTATTTACTCTTATCATCGTCGCTCTTCGTCGTCGTCGGTGTTGTCGGCGGCAGCGTTGTTTGTTCCCGGTATAGGTACTCGTTCTCGCCATCATCATTTGCCCTTATCGTCATTGGTCAATGCGGTGGACGTGGTCATATTGTCGCCGTTGTATTCATAGTCATGAGCCTTGGGTTACTGCGACCCCTTTTTCACCATTGCCCATGGCGTCAATGACGTGAGGATTAAGACGCATGAGGTCTAGGGTACACAGGCCGCTCCTTGAGGGAAGGACGTTTAGTGGGTGTATAATTAGAGAGTTAAGATCAGGGTTCCGTCAACTGCCTTTCTAAATGAGATTGAAGTGAAGCTGCGAAGCCTGTCGTTGTCGTGGATGAGGCTGTTGTTGCCGGCATGGCGTTCCCATGAGCGCGATTATCGTGCTGGAGGTTGGACCGCCAACGGGGACAGGGTTTGCAGGCGTTTGTGCTTGACCAGATGCGAGAACAACATGTAGGACACAAACAACATATATACGCACCGGATTGATGATTCATGCTGTGGAAACGTTAGGCTCGACGGCGAATCACGTTGTTGGGACGAGGTGATGAAGGAAGGATAGCCACCACATCACCATCAGGTTCTCTTCTCCATACTCGAGTCAGTGACTCAAGCGATGATGAAAAGTTCCCACAGTTGTGTGGGGCTCCAAAAATTGATGGTAAGTAAGTAAGTGAGTCCCCTGGACATATATATAATGATTAAACATTAAGTATGAAGAGGGAAGAAAAGAAGAGGAAATTTTGGAGCAGGAGGAAATATTTATGCCTGTGGGGCCACCGGCGTTAGGCGGCAATGGGAAGCGAGCATTCACTTCGGGCAGGTGCGGCCAACAGACGAACTTCAGCACGACGCGGCCCAGTAAACACGATCTGGCTGAGTGAACGAGGGGATATTGTGCTTCAGCAGACCATCTAGTGTCTATCTATCCAGCGGACCTTCCATCGCTGTGACATCGACCTGACTGCCTATGAACTCAGACATCAGTGCGGCTCGACTATGTTGTCAGTGTGTGCTCGCGAAACGGATGCGCATTAAACAGACCCCGGCATCAGACACAGATGTTTTGCAAAGGAGGGACCATGTGACACATCTCTTCTCCAAACTCGAGTCATTGACTCGAGGCATGATGAAAAGGTCCCACGGTTGTGTGGGGTTGCAAAAAATTGTGAGGTAAGTTCAGTATAATTAGACATTAAGTATGAAGAGGAAAGAAAACAGGAGGAATAATTGGAATGGAAGGCGATATTTATGCTGTAGGCAGGCACGTGCTCAGCTATTCAGTGATAAGCTACTGCACCTGCCAATTTGGGAGCGTAGGAAATACCAAAAAATATGCCTCACATCCCCAAAGGTGACTGAACAGGTGGTCAACACGCTGTGCAATGCAATGGAATTTCTGTGGTGGAAGGCCCTCATGACCGCTATCCACCGAAGCTTGGTAAGTATATAGAGGAAAGAAACGCGGAGGAAGATTGTGGCCAACGGGTGGTAGTGCATGTCACACGTGACCCACGTGTGACATGCACTGTCGCTGGAGTGGCCATACGGTAAGAATAATCGCGGTAGAACGCGAAGAACGTGTAGTGTGCATTATAAACTAGTAGTAGCTGAGTAGCATATTAGAATTGAGTAGCACTCACTGTTCAGTATTGGTTTTTGGGTTGCTCATCAGATTTGAATACTATTTGACTCACCAAGATGATCGCTGATCAAGTATTCTTGAGTTCTACGAATACCAGCTACCAAGTGAGTGACGTACAGAAGCCAGTGGGGTCGCCATATGGTCACTCGTGTCTTGATGGTGACGTCCACGCAGGGCGGGGGGGGTCCAATAGTGTAGGCAGCGCTGTCATCTAAGAGATCAGAGATTGAAGGAACCTGGGATTCGAACAGTGAATTCAGACCCCAAGAGAAGCCTCACATGCGAGGTGTTAGGTAAGATGCCCTTGCCTTGAGACAGGTCTGTGACGGCTGTAGAAGAAGCCATGAGAAGGAGAGTAACGAGACCACCCCTCGAGAAGACAGACACAGGAAAGATACATTGATGGCAATACTCCAGCAGTTTCTCACCATCAAAGGAAAGCACGGTGGAGATACCGCAACCTCTTCTCCATCTTCGAATCATTGACTCAAACGATGATGAAAAGAAACCACGAAGGGTAAGCCAAAGAATACGCCACCGAGACCCCCAGAAGGTGCCTCAACAGCTGGCCATCGCGCTGTGCAATGCGTTGGACAGTCTGTAGTGAACCGCCCTCATGATCGCGGCCCACCGCAACTAGGTAAGTATGAAGAGGGAAGAAAAGAGGGGGAAGTTGCGGGCGGACAGACTATATTTATGTCCAGGGGTGGTGCGACGCTAGTCCCGATTGGGGACGGTAGCCTGTGGCCGACGGCGGAATACAGTTGGAAGGCGGTGGAACCGCATATGTGATGGCAACCAGTGGATGTAGATGAACAAGTCTGATTTTCGAGTATAACCCCTGAGCTAACAATTTATAAGGGGTAAAATAAATTACTAATCTATGATGTTTATCCAGAACCACCCACTAATATCCTGTTGAAGTTGAGGATGCCCTGGTAGTGATATTCAGGGGATGTCGATCAGGTTGTATTGTTGATCATGTGACCCTTGAGTCGAATGGGCCACCGACTTATACATCGCGCCTGAGGCAGCATTCGACCAGAACCTTGACCACGCGCTTTCTTGTGTTGCCCTCTTTTACAACACACCTCCTATAGCTACAGGCCCACACAAGCAGTCTCGGTAAGTACTCAGCCCCTTCTAATATCCAGACTTCTTTCTCCCTGACCACATATACAGTACTGTAAACACCTCCGCCTAGACCCCCCGAGCCTCGCTCTCGCGTAACCGCTCTGATTCGCATGGTAAAACTCCGAATGTCAGGAACACAGGCACATACCAATAAAACAAAATTGCAACACACCTATCTTCCTCGGCATCAAATACGAACTGACCCCACCCTCACCAACCGAATCCATCCGATCTACAGCCCCACCAGCCCGCAGGGATGATCCCCCGCCGTATTCGCGGGGTAGCCACGCCTGCATATCCTTGGCAGAGGTCACCACGCATTCCACATGCCATGCCTGCAAGAACGGGGTCACCCGATGAACACTCGGACTCGTACCTGGCCCGGCTTGGCCAGGGCGCGCCCTACTTTCCTAGTGGATGGTTGGGTTTCGAAGATGAGGGGTTACGCATGGCAGCCTTGGCCTTCCAACCACGGACATGAAAAAATTGTATTTGACTCTTGAGAGTGGCTGATGTTATTGTGAAGACTCGGGGGTGATTCCTCTTTGAGGAGCTGCGACGTGGTAGTTTTGGAGGCTGCAGCGGAGATGCCATTCTGCGTGCGGCGGTGGTTCTTCGGATGCTACTATTTGGAAGCAACGCTGATGCCGGAAGATATTGCGATGCCGTTGTTAATTTGGCCGAGGGACCACATGTTCGTTAGTTCTTTTGTTGCTGGTGGTGTGGCCGAGGATGTGATGTGGGGATGCTTAAAAGGTATCTCTTTGCCCGGGAAGGCGCGAAGGTAGGGACGAGTCTGACGAGCACGAAGTCATTAGCTATTCCGTCCTGAGTCTCCATCATGAAGTTTTATACAGTGCTGGCTTTGCTCTTATCTGCTATCTCAGCAGTGGCAGCTCCAGCAGAGAAAAGAGCATCGGCGCCGACTGTTACAATCGCCCAGCCTGCCGCAACAATCATCGGGTCGTCTTCCAACAAGGTCGACAGCTTCAACGGGATTCCATTTGCGCAGCCGCCAACTGGATCGCTGCGCCTGAAGCCACCGAAGGCAATTACGTCGTCTTTGGGCACTGTCAAAGCAACGGGTATAGCCAAGGCGTGTCCACAGTTCTACTTCACGACCGACGAGAGTAGCATCCCCACCTCGGCGCTGGGCCTGTTGGCGAATACGCCCTTGTTCCAGGCCGTTACGAATGCCGGCGAGGACTGCTTGACAGTGAGCATCCGTCGGCCATCGGGTGTTACTGCGAGTTCAAAATTACCTGTCCTAGTCTGGATCTACGGCGGCGGCTTTGAACTCGGGTCAACGCAGACATACGACGGGACCAGCCTCGTGCAGTCATCGATAGACCTCAACATGCCGATCATCTTCGTGGCCATGAACTACCGCGTTGGCGGCTTCGGATTCATGCCCGGCTCGCAGATCCTGAAAGATGGGGCCGCTAATCTAGGACTCCTCGACCAACGACTCGCACTTGAATGGGTCGCCGATAACATCGCGGCTTTCGGCGGAGACCCGTCAAAGGTCACAATCTGGGGCGAGTCCGCGGGCTCGATCTCCGTCTTCGATCAGATGGCCCTCTACGACGGCGATAATACCTACAATGGTTCCCCGCTCTTCCGCGCGGGTATCATGAACTCCGGTTCTATTGTCCCCGCTGATCCCGTCGACGGTACCAAGGGTCAGCAGGTATACGACGCCGTTGTGAAGCAGGCCGGCTGCAGCACCGCTAGTGACACACTCGAGTGCCTCCGCGGAGTGGACTACACGAAATTTCTCAATGCCGCGAATTCAGTCCCCGGCATCCTGGGTTACAGCTCCGTCGCACTTTCATATCTCCCCCGACCAGACGGGAAAGTTCTCACGCAATCGCCAGACCTCCTCGTCAACGCAGGCAAATATGCCTCTGTCCCATTCATTGTCGGCGACCAGGAAGATGAGGGGACACTCTTCGCGCTTTTCCAGAATAATATAACGACTACCGCCCAGCTGGTGGATTACCTGAAAAACATTTTCTTCCTCGACGCATCGCGCGAGCAAATCGAGGAACTCGTCGCCGCGTACCCCGACACTACGACAAACGGCTCGCCATTCCGAACAGGGATCTTCAACAACTGGTATCCGCAGTACAAGCGCATCGCCGCGATCCTTGGTGATCTGACCTTCACCATTACCCGGCGGGTCTTTCTGTCCGCCGCGTCGAAGGTCAAGCCTGATGTCCCGACCTGGTCGTATCTCTCTTCGTACGACTACGGGACCCCGATTCTGGGGACGTTCCATGGGTCGGATATACTGCAGGTGTTTTATGGGATACTTCCGAACTACGCGTCGAAATCGATTCATACTTATTATTTTAGTTTTGTTTATGATCTGGACCCCAACTCGAGGGCGGGAAGCTACATGGAGTGGCCCCGGTGGAGCGAGGGGCAAATGTTGATGCAGTTCTTTAGTAATCGTGGGACCCTCCTGGCTGATGATTTTCGGAAGGATACGTTCGACTTTTTGGTTGAGAATACTGCCTCGTTCTATATTTGATGGGGTTGAAGGGGCTCGATGCGATCAACCCAAGGAAGTACATATGAGATAGTGCAATCTCAATCACATACTAAAAGACTTGAACGGATCGTATGTGACCTTGTAGATACTCTTCCGACTATGATTCTGCTATTCGGAATAGTCTGTCTACCGCCAGGTCGCCGTCACTGTCGCTGTCGATCCCGCACAACCCGTCGGAACTGTATATGACCGATTCGGATCACTCTCCCAGGTTACAGAAACCCCTTCCTTCTCCAAGAACTTGTACTGAAACGACGTGCCGACCGGCAACGTAACCTCTATATACCACAGATGGTTCGACGAGGTATATTGATCGGCAGATAAAGCAACCGCGTCATCGGTATCCCAGCTTCCTAATTGACTGATCGAGCCGGAGAGATAGATGCCCTGACCGTAAGAGGTTGTCACGATCTCTTTAAAGAGAACCGGAAGCGCGGTCGCTTGTGTGCAGGTGGCTGGTGTAGTGGTGCTTGCTGTGACCTTAGTCGTCGTGGGAGTTGAAGACGACGCGCAGGGTCCGCTGTTTGCTGCGGCGGAAGCGAGCATCAACACTCGCGGGAGTCCGGATGCCATTGGCACCGGAATGTTCCCACTCGAGTCGACGGTGACTGTGGTGCAGGTGTACATCTCTGTTAGCTTGGTCCCGGATGTGTAGCCGCTTCCGCTGAGGCTAAGGGTGTAGGAGCTGCCAGAAGAGCCTTTGTTTGACAACACCGTGAGTACTTGCGAGCCGGAGGTGCCTTTTTTCATTGCGATTGTGTTGCTGTCTTGGTAGAAGGGGGTGTTCTTTGCGCGACGAGTTAGTGTAGACCTTGACCCAGAACTGGGGGCCTACCTTGGACGTGATGTATGAAGAGTCAGACGACACGGCGAGAGCACGAATCTTATTCGTCGTCGCTATGTGAGTGTACAACTCTGCCGTTGTCGAATATCCTGATAGCCATGTCGCCTCTCGATTAGCAGGATCGCTGCCCCCGCTGTAATGTTGTTCTTGACCGGCGTAGATTATGGGAATTCCGTCGGAGAAGAACAGGAACGAGATGACGTTCTTGGCTTGCGAGTAATCGCTCGTGTATCTGCCAGATGAGCTGAGTGTATATCAGACGGGGAGAGGCTTCTTACGATGCGAATCGAGGATTGTCATGGTTCTCAATAAAGTTTCCTAGCAGCGTTGGGTCTTTGCAGTCGGATGCGACCGAGTTGATCATGCTGTACAGGTCGCTGATGCTACCGCTTGAGGTCTGGAATGCGTAGAGGAGTTGGTAGTAGCTGTCTGCGTTAGTAAATGTGTAGTGCGCAGCTGGGTGGGCTTACATCGGATAGTTCAAGACACCGTCCATGTAGCTCTGGTAGTCACAGGTGTATGATGGATCTCCGTCGAAAATTTCTCCCACACAATAGACGCCAGCAGCACTGTTGTAGTCTGGCCAGAAGGACTTTTGGACGTGTTTCACCGTGTCAATTCGAAGTCCGTCAACTGTGGTATGTCAGTCAGTGCAGCAGTATGATGGATTTGGCACGTACTCGAGTAATTCGAGACCAAGTCTGCTATCCACTCGTACCAGATTGTTTGAACCGATGACAGTTCGGTGTTGAGGTCAGGGAGAGAGACGGTTGTGTCGCCGAGCCAGCAGTCCTCTACGTTTGTCTGGTCGTCGTAGTTGCTGATCAGGCAGTATGAGTGGAAGTACGAGGATGAGTCGAAGGGGTCGAAGACGCTGTAGTCGACCGTGCTTCCGGCGCCATTGTATCCCTTGTTTACAGTCAGTTACAGAAGGAGTAGTAGATGTGGTAGAACATACCATGTGATTTGCGACAACATCTACCATGAGATACATTCCTCGGGCGTGCAACGCAGTGGATAGCGCGAGAAGATCATCTGCGGTGCCGTAGTTCGAGTTGACATCGTATCTTGCAACGTCAGCCTATTAAGCGTCATATAGAGTGCCTTGTAACTTACATCTTCTGCTGCCAATAACCATGGTACGCTTCGCCATAACCGGTATTTCCTTGTATCTGTTCCGTAACAGGTGTGATCCAGATGGCTGTGAATCCCATGCCTTGGATATAGTCCAACTGAAGAATTATCAATATTGTCATAACAATCTATCAAATGAACACTTACGTGGTTGATGATTCCTCGCCAGCTTCCACCGCAGTAGATCTCGTCCAGTTAGATTATACACATGTGAAAATGAATGGTGCTAGTACATACTCTGTCTGTGACGTTACAAGCCGCTGTCGTCGAGTTATCCTCACGGCCAAATCGATCAGTCAGGAGAAAATAGATAGACTGGGACCGCCATTCTGCGGGCGTCAGAGCAGCAACGGCCTCCAGTAGGAGACAGGTGGCTGTCGTTGCAAGCCACTTCATGATCGCTTGTCGGTTCTGATAGATTGATGTGATGATAAATGCCGTTCTGTGAAGGTATGGAGACGGTGGCGTTTATACGTAGACTCTACAGGCCTCGGGCACTGCACTCCTAAAGAAGAGTGCAGTGTTGAACGTCCTTCTAGAACACCCCGCACGGGGCTGGGCCGTAGGCGTCGGACAAAACAGCCAATGAACGACTGTGCAAACCCTCATCCCACGGTGAATTGTTTCAGATCCCTGGCAGACGCCCGCTCAATTCCCGGTTCCCTGGCAGCTGTCAACTCGAGATCAAGGATTCCATCGACTGTTAAGAGTCAGGTCGGTTAATAGTCCTGCCTGCAGGCCAGCGCTAGCGCCCCACGCCAGTCTTAATCGGTTGATCCTCCGGGAAGAGTGGATCAGGCATTTTGCACGGCTCCACATTTCCAGGGCGAAACGGTACTGAATGCCGAAGTTTGACCCCAGAATGCGTGTCATTGCTGATTCACATGCAGATCACATCTCTGCAAGGCCGCCTCCGTCGTAGGCGAGGCCGATGGCGCCAGGCACGCTGTGTGGTGGTTGTGTTGGGCGTGTTGATTGGCAAATGTCTCCTGGCGGGCGTCTGGCTAGCTAGGAGCTAGACAGGGGACGGAGAATCTACGGGCTGCGACACGCCACGCTTGAGTGGCACGTTTACACAAGATGCACGCTTCAGGGGGGATCGCCTGATTTTCAGACTCGAGCTTCACGAAGGTTATCGCGACTTCCAGGTGTCAGTACGTCGGTACGCACTGCGGTATCAAAGTCGATCGGTGTAGATATATCTTTACTTAACTTGGTAGTTATTGCTGGAGATCATCAGATCATCCGATCGCGGCAGTCGAAAATGCAATGCCCGTCCCTCATGGCGGGGTAGGACGCGTATAATTTAACCTGTGCCCGACCACTCAAAAGCAAAACTAGCTGCATCAAGCGTCGCTAGCGGCCGCCCTATCCCCGCTCCTTGCACTTCGCCTCGAGCAATCTGGACGCGTCCGAGTGTAGCTTCTAACCGAAGCGAGACGGCAAAGAGCGGCGCATAAAAGCTGGCAATGCCCATCAGATCGAAGACTATCGACATCGACTGGCTTCCTCATGGCTCCTCGTTTTTGGACTGCGCTATGCGCCTTCACACTCGGCCACGCTGTGCTCGCTGCACCGCAGCTGGCGCCTCGTGCGACAGCTAGCTTGGATAGCTGGCTGGCCACGGAAACTGCCGTTGCTCGAACGGGCATTCTCGATAATATCGGGGCTGATGGCGCCTATGCGAGGAGCTCGAAATCGGGGATTGTCATTGCCAGTCCCAGCACCGACAGTCCTGATTGTAAGTGTTTGTCTCATGAGTGTGTGTTGAGGAAGGAGCTGACCGGCAGACTACTACACGTGGACCCGTGACTCCGCGTTAGTCATGAAGACCCTCGTCGATCTCTTCAAGAACGGCGACACCGACCTGCTCACCGTTATTGAGGAGTACATCAGTTCCCAGGCGTACATCCAGACGGTCTCGAACCCATCTGGCGGTCTTTCGAGCGGGGGACTGGGTGAGCCGAAGTTCAATGTTGATGAGACAGCCTACACTGGTTCGTGGGGGCGTCCTCAACGCGATGGTCCAGCTCTACGTGCTACTGCTTTGATCGCATTCGGACAGTGGTTGATCGTCAGTATACCTGCTTCTAATTGCATCCTGTCTACTGACTTGCGTGAAGAGCAACGGCTACACCTCTACGGCAGCCGACATTGTCTGGCCGATCGTGCGCAACGATCTGTCCTACGTCGCACAGTACTGGAATAGCTCTGGATACGGTAAGTCACCCTTTCCTCAAATATATAGCATAGCTGATCAGTATAGACCTCTGGGAAGAAGTCAACGGCGAATCCTTCTTCACTACGGCTGTCCAACACCGCGCACTCGTCGAAGGCAGCAAATTCGCCAGCCAGGTCGGATCTTCCTGCTCGTATTGCGATTCTCAAGCGCCCCAAGTCCTCTGCTTCTTGCAGTCATACTGGACGGGTTCCTACACCCTGGCCAACTTCGGTAGCAGCCGTACCGGTAAAGATGCCAACACTCTCCTCGGCAGCATCCACACGTTCGATCCAGAGGCAGGGTGTGATGACACGACATTCCAACCTTGCTCGGCTCGTGCTCTGGCAAACCACAAGGTCGTGACAGACTCCTTCCGCTCCATCTACACCGTCAATTCAGGGAAGAGCGCTGGTCAAGCTGTTGCTGTTGGTCGGTACCCCGAGGACTCCTACTACAATGGCAATCCCTGGTATCTCTGCACTATGGCTGCCGCAGAACTGCTTTATGATGCACTCTATCAGTGGAACAAGATTGGCTCGTTGACAATCAGCAGCACTTCGCTCAGCTTCTTCACTGATTTGTACAGCTCTGCCGCTACTGGAACTTATTCGTCGTCGAGTGCGACATACTCTTCTATTGTCAGTGCGGTCAAGACATATGCGGACGGATACATGAGCATTGCGGTATGTTAATACACCTCCGCCGGTAAGACAGGAATCTGATTGCTTTCAGGAACAATACGCCTACTCAAACGGTTCCATGTCCGAGCAATTCTCCAGATCCAACGGTAGCCCTGTATCCGCCCGTGACCTAACCTGGTCGTATGCCGCTCTCCTCACTGCCAACATGCGCCGCAACTCCGTCGTGCCTCCCGCATGGGGCGAGACCTCCGCCAGCAGCGTCCCTGGAACCTGCGCTGCGACATCCGCGACTGGTACGTACAGCACCGCGACAAACACCAACTGGCCGAGCACTTTGACAAGTGGAACTGGCGCAACTACGACGACTGCTGGTGGAACGACGACCAGCAAGACCACGACGACTACGTCGAAGACGACAACCACGTCCTGCACGACCCCGACCTCGGTCGCTGTCACCTTTGACGTAGTCGCAACTACAACCTACGGCGAGAACATCAATCTTGCTGGCTCTATCTCCGCACTGGGCAATTGGGATACAGGCAGCGCTATTGCGCTAAGTGCGGATAAATATACTAGCTCAAACCACCTTTGGTATGTCACTGTTAACCTGCCTGCCGGACAGGTGTTCCAATACAAGTATATTCGGGTCGAGAGCGATAGCTCGATCCAGTGGGAGAGTGATCCAAATCGCTCGTATACTGTGCCGGCTGCTTGTGCGACGACGGCTGTGACGATTAGCGATACTTGGCGGTGATCAATGACAACAACTGGGTTGTCAGTGCTGTGTCAAGGAGGATATGATGTCGGATTTGATACTACACTAGTGATCGTAGTCGCAGATACTTTTCATATAGGAAATAAGTCTTGCAGTGTACAAGTGATGTCAGTCCGTTGATGCTCCGAGTTAGACCTCACACCTGGGCAACCATGTAGTCCCCAAATGCAAGCATCTAAACAACAGCAAAATATACTTTTACCATCCAGTTGCGTTCGTGTATGTACTTGTGTCATGAACATCAAGGGCCTGCGTTTACATAGCCCAGGCCATAAAACTGGCTTGTTTAAAATGATCTTTGTGCCGTTGAAAGCATAGAGTAAACAGAAACATAGTTAACTAACTTGTTAATGCGAGAGCAGCGGAGGCCCGTGAATACCTCAGGCAACCCCCTCCCCCCCCCCCCCCCCCGGGCCACTCTCTCAATCGGGACTAGCGCCACATCGCTCGCAGGTATAAGTACCCAGTCTTTCCGATTCTTCCCCCTCTTTTCTTTCCTCTTCATACTTACCTAGTTGGGGTGGGCCGCGGTCATGAGGGCGGCTCACCACAGTTTGACCACCGCATTGCACGGCGCGATGGCCAGCTGTTGAGGCACCTTCTCGGGGTCTCTGCGGCGAATTCTTTGGCTTACCCTTAGTGGGTTCTTCACCTTTTCATCATTCTTGAATCAATGATTTGAGCCTGGAGAAGAGATATTTCACCTGTCAGCTGTGTGCCCAGGATTCTGCTATGGACACTGGAGTGACTCACTCACTGACCGCCTACACACGTGCCTGCTTACAGTATAAATATCATCTGCTATTCCAATCCTTCTTCTCCTTTTCTTTCCTCTTCAACTTATGTCTAGGTTGGCTGCGGTCACGAGGGCAGTCCACCACTGACCGTCTATCGCATTGCACAGCGCGCTCTGGGTGGCTGGGTAGTCCTTTCGGGGGCTGACTGGGCGCTATTTTTGGCACTTCCCTTCGGGGATTCAATCTTTTCATCATGCCTTGGGCCATTGACTCAAGCTTGGAGAAGAGGTACTCGTATAGCTTGAGCTGTTGGGTGCCTGCTGTGCGTGAATTTACTGTGCATCACGACGGAGAAGCTGGATCGTCGTCAGTGAGTACACGTGATTCGTGTTTTTCCGAGCTCGTCGCTGGACTGACTCCCTCTACACGTCCATATGAGACATCGTGTATCTGGAAACCAAGCGTCAACACCATACAGAACGGCTGTAAAAGCAGTGGAACCACATTTTCACTCGTAGATGATTCAAGGGCCGATCTCAGTTCCGCTTTATAAGTGAAACCTCGATGGTGGTACGGGAGCTTCAAAATGGCCGCTTTCAACAGTCTTCCGGATGAATTCCGGACCTGTGTAGAATTTCATCAACACGGAACTTCGGTCCCCGCAAACGTATATAGATTTTTTCTATGGGCCAACAAGATGGACAATGACCTTATTGCCTCTCCTCTGCTTCACAGGCAGTCTAAAGACTTCTACATGACTCCAGACCCATGAAGGTCTGCCGACCCACCCCTCCTCCCGACTCCGCATCTTCCCAAACCGCCAGGCCTCCTCCTTTCCAAAATAGGACTAGCGTCTCATCGCCGGGTTATAAATACCGTCGTTTTCGCCAACTGAAAATCTTCCTTTTCTCTTTTTTCCCCTCAGGCTATTGGAAACTCACCAACGTCTGGGTGGACTGCGATCATGAAGGCAGTCAACCACAGAGGGTTCACCGCATTGCACAGCGCGTTGGTCGCCTGTTCAGTCAGCCTCGGCGGACTAGGAGGCATAATCTTTGGCACTTCCTTCGTGGGATCTATTTTTCATCATGCCTTGGGTCAGTGATTCGGGCTTGGAGAAGAATTTGTGGGATGTGTGGCCACTTCGTGTCTTTAATGTTGGACGTCAGGATTCTCCATCATCATCATCATCATCTATGCAGAAGTTGTTCAAGGAGATTATATCATTGTCGTCTACACGCTGCATTGTTCTTAGTCGTCTCACGAGTGATAGCATCGCTGACGCTTGCGGGCAGTCCACCAGACACGCCCTGGCCTCGTTCTCTCCTCTATCATCGTCCTCATCTCACCCACTTCATCAAACATTCTCTAGCTGACAGTCTCTCACATACGGCAAGCTGGTGTCTTCTGTGCGTCGGGCTTCTGGAATCAACTGGAATGCGCAGGCCCACACGTCTTCTCTCACGCTCCGCTCTGTTGAAGGACTGTCTGTTGCATCAGCCCAACATCTCTGCTTTAACACACCTGAGGTTCATTATGAGCTACTGCCCCCGCCTCATAGCTCTTAGCCGAGCTCATTGGTAGGTAAGTTTAAATTCCAAGCCTTGTTAGATCCCTGGCGTGGCGTGGTCCTGATAGTAATAACAAAGTCCTGTATCAGTATCTACCCTCGTCATCCCCGTACTCGTTCTGCTTCTTCCGCTCCTCCCCCTGCTCGTCGTCGACCCGATACGTGATCCAATTATAATTTATCGGAAGTGTCTTTGCTGAGGGAACTATTCGCGTCCAACCGCTTTCTCAGCACTTTGTCCAAACGTGACGACGTTGCGATCGAACCGCAGACAACCGGGGGTGTCGACGTAGATCTCACGGCAAACATAAACGTACAACGCTGGAAGATGGCACTACGCTTAATAGAGGGCGACACTGCCAATTGCCATGATCAATCAATACTTGTCATCACGTAGCGAATGACATTAGCGAGTAGGATGAGGACAAGTGTCCGACGGTCCAAACCAACACTTACGGTCATCGCTTGGCTGGGATTTCCACGTCCAAGACATGCTGGACTGAGTCTACATTGCGCAGTGCTACAAGGGAAACCATTCTTCATTCTCCGTGACGACCGAGATTCATTGTGGTGCAATAGGCCTTTCTTCCACTCCAGTATCTCATCGCATACCTGCCCGAGCCGCCATGATCAAGTAGATGGGGGCCAAAGAGGCACTGCTATTATCATTGCGCAGCGTGGTTCCATTGCTCGATGGTCTTGGGGCAACGTCGCAGATATCCTTCAGCACTTTCCCCCATGTCTTGGATTAGTGATTCGAGTACGGAGAGGATTGTACGAGTTCGCGGCATCTCTTGGTTTGGTCTGTTGCTCCAGTGTAAACTGTGCTGGAAACATACGCGGCGGTCGTGGATGAGGCAGACACGTATATGTGCAAATTGATATATGAAGACCGAGAACCACTGGAGCGGGCCCAGTTCAGATTCAAAAGATTCATTCCAGAAAGTAGACAAGTCACATCTGGGTCCGTACCAACTTGTAGTACTTCAATAAATGACAGTTCCACAGAGCCAGAATCTGTTTTGAATCAGCTCCACTGCTCACCGGAACACTAGAAAAATAAAATGACGCGGTATAGGGGGCCTCCCGTCACAAATGACTGATCTGCTTGACATCGACCATCAGCATGATGTGTGAGGTGTCGGTAAATGCTTTCTGCGAGGTAGGGACAAGTTTGCTCTTTCCTTGCTGGTAATGACGGAAAGCATATGCGTGATATCAATGCCGAGACAGATTTCGGGATCGCAATGCTTCTGAGCTGAACCTGTACCTGCTAGCTTGTTGTACACAGATCAGACTTCGCGGATCCCTGCGGCCTCATAACACCTACACGGTTTCCCCGTTCTCTCACACCTGTATGATCCACCATATCGGTGTGAGACTTAAGATGTGTATAAACGAGCCTCTGTGTAAGCGTAGCATGCGGATGGTGAGGAACCAGACGGTGATCAATGCGGAAAATCGTCGGGTTGGTGTGAAGCGCAGTCCAGGACGCCATGTCCGTATCACTCATATCAATGTTGGGAAATCAATAGAGATGGAGTTATGGGCATTCTGGGTATTGGTGTTTTGGGAATTTGTTGTAACGGTGCATTGCCTGTCGAACTGATTGAAAGCCAATCTACGGTCAGCATGATGCTACTACAGGAAGAGAGGAATGAGAAACCGGATAACTCGCCACCGTCAAGCAGATCACATCGAATAGTTGTCCCGTATTTCCATCTCCAATGTGCCTGGGGGGTATCCTTCCGGATATAATCATGGCCGTGGATGTTCTGTACCCGTATGATCATCGACGCGTACGTTGAACGAGATGCGGCGCTGTGAGCATTGATTTGGTCAGCATGTGAAGGCAAACGCGTATTGAGACACTACCCCATCCAGTGGCAGTTGCGCAGGAGCCATATAGACTGTATATTTGTAGAATAGTACCTGGATGACACATTTGATGTCGTGGGTGAACAGGGTCATGAACGTGCCCGGAGCCATCCTCACGCATAACGATTGAGAAAGGAAGGTATACATTTATCTTGATGCTTAAACGGAGAGGGGTTGACATTAAACAATTTCTGGGCTTACAAAGGCATGTCAGGTCTGTAAGAATTGTGTATGATGTTTAGAGGTACGATAGTACTCACCAAGTCGCCGTCCAGCTCAGGTCCATGATCTCTCCCAGATTCGGCTCGTGAAAAGGAAAGAAGTCCATTGCATTCGTATCCCTTTTCCTCTCAGCAAAGTTTCATATCCGAATGTGTTGATGACCCTGCGAAGGAAGGTCAGTAGAACAAGAGGAGAGCTCAATCCCAGTCAAATGCACAGGCATCTGCCTCAGGCACCCTGAGCAGTTGCCCGTCACGGGATGAGGTGCCCTTGCCAACACGTGACAACTCAGCCCACGGGTATAAATATCGCCTGCCGTTTGCAATCCTCCTCTTCTTTTCTTCTCTCTTCAACTTACCTAGTTCGGGTGGTCCACGATCATGAAGGCGGGTCACCACAGATCGTCTGCCGCATTGCACAGCGCGTCAGTCTCCTGTCCAGTTTAAACCCCCTCGGGGGCTGGAGGGCATATTGTTTTGGCACACCCTTCGTGGGTTCTTCATCTTTTCATCATCCCTTGGGTCAGTGACCTGGGGACGGAGAAGAGATTCGGAGATGTGGTGTTAGATGGACTTGCTTGTCACGAACAGGCTGGGCTATCCTCGCAGGTCGATAGAATGCTTGTCTTAAGCATCTCCATGCTAATATCTAGCAGGTTGAATGTGTCACTGATGATCTTCATGATCTCCATGATCTCCACTGCCTTGAACCGTTGCCTCTGGTTCGATATTACAGCACCATCTAGCGACCCGTTCTACAGTACCACATCACGATACCTATCTGTATCATGTCGTCCAAAGGAAAGATATGCCTTAAGCCCAGAGGCGATCAATCTCTCACTGTAGCCCCCTTTCGACAGCATCAAACACCATTATTCCCGGCACCGGCCATATCCCCGTGACTTTAGCACCCGTGACGCTGGGTAGTCACTCCGCAGGCACTAACGCATCACGTGCCAACCAAACACATAAATACCGTCTGCCCACTCGCAACTTCCTCCTCTTTTCTTCCCTCTCCATACTTACCTAGCTTCGGTGGGCTGCGTTCATGAGGGCGACTCACCACAGAACGCCAGTCGCATTGCACAGTGCGGCGGCCGCCTGTCCAGGCACCCTCGGGGGTCTGCGAAGTATATTGTTTGACATCCCCTTCGTGGGGCTATCTACATCTTTTCATCATACCTTGAGTCCTGACTCGGGCCTGGAGAAGAGCAACGGGTGGTTTGGTCGTTGGAGATACGTAATTTCGCGGCCATGTCCTCGAGCATCGCTATCAAGTCCTTCACTTCGACAGTGTCTAAACCTGAGCATCATGCCTTGGGTCAGCCATACTGAACCATGGGAAACAACGTCTACTGGTCTTTTGAACGCGCTAATTTCCTCGACATTCCGAGTCTTGACGTGATACTGTCACCCATCCACAATTATTCATCTACACTTTGGAATCCCCACAGACCGGTGGTGCTCCGGTTCGCAATAGCTTACGGCACAACCCACACCTAGAAATATCGGGTACAGTCTGCTATTGATATCAAAGCAAAAAATTAAAACATCTAATTAACCTCATCTTTCACAACTGATGATTCCTAATCCACAACCCAAAGAAAGCAGCCGCAAGCGAACAGCCCAGCGAAACAAGATACGTCCTCCTCAACCCAGAAAGATAACACTCAATAACAATTTCTCTAAGCCGTCCCCCGAGGCCAGCAATATACCCCGTATCTGCCATCGCACGGCGGATAACCCTCTCCGAACCCGGACCGGTTAACTTCGATCTCAATTGCCGCTGAAACTCCATTCCAAGCACCGTATTCGATGTCGTAACCCCGGCCGTCATCGCAAAGCTGATCAGCAACATATACCCCGCCGTCGCCATGGCCATTTCCTCCGGTGGCAGGATGGCTGTCATTGCGACGAAGGCAGAGGCGGATGCGATGCCTGTGCCGACTCCGCCGGGGATTATGTACAACGATTCCCAGAGGCCGGTGTGTCCGGTCCATTGTGTGTAGAGGGAGATGTAGGATGTTGAGGCGATTAATCCGGCGAGGATTAAGAGGATTTTGTAGTGTCCTGTTTTCCGGATGAAAGCACCGGCGATTAGGCCGCCGATTGTATTTCCCACTACGGCGGGGACGAGGTGCCCTCCAGCGGAGGTTGTTGAGGCGCTTTGCGTTACCTGGAAGTAGAGGGGTACGGAGAAGAGCATGCCGAGCTGCGCGGTTATTTGGAGGCAGCTGATCACGTAGCTTGTTGGGACGTTGGGTCGGCGTAGGATGCGGAGGTTGAAGATTGGTTCTTTGGCCACGTAGGCTTCGACGAGTACAAAGGAGATGAGAAGCAAAAGGCCACCACCACCCATGAGGACTGTGAGCCAGGAGTTCCAGGGGAATGATTTTCCGCCTTGGTCGAGGAGTCCGGTTATGGCGATTATGGAAGTGCCGGAGGAGGGCTGTGCCCAGGAAGTCGACTTTTGCGAGTTTGGAGGTGCTGTCTGTTTCTGGTGTTGCTCGCGCGACGTTCAGCTTTAGCATTACGAGGAATGCGGCAAGGGCGACGAAGGGAGCTTGTAGGAGGAAGAGCCTGTTCTTGTTAGTACCGATTACTGTCATCGATTCGATATGTACTTACCATCTCCATCCAATTGTATCACTCAACCACCCACCAACAGGACCACCCAGACTACGACCGAGTGTCATAGCGATATTGACGTAGGCTCTCCACGTCGCAACTTCACGTCTAGGAACGATGTCCGTGATGATGACCGAGCTAATGGTCATCGTGCCGGCGCCTCCCATGCCGCTGATCGCACGGCCGAGTATGACCACCCACATCTGCGATCCAATGCCGCTGGAACATGTCAGCATGTGCTTTACCAATTTTTGCAAGCATACGTACCAGATAATACATCCAACCGCAAAGAGCAAATATGAAATCAATAGCAGCGGCTTCCGGCCGTAGATATCGCTCAGCTTGCCGTACTATTCGCAATTAGCATCGTCCTTGTAACCTCTCAATTGACGTCGATCCAACTGTGCGACTCACCATCGGCTGCGCCGCGCATAGTCCCAGTGTATACCCCGTCGACAACCAGCTCGCGTCGCGGAGACGATTGAATTCGGAGGAAACGCGGCCAGCGGCGGCCATTACGAGCGTTGCATCGGCGTTTGAGATGAATTCGCCTGCATACATATACACTGTTAGACCTTGCGCATTACCTTCTGTGGGAAGGAGGTACTTACCAAGTAGAAGAACGGCAATGATGGTCCCCACGGCCGTTAGCTCCTTCATGTTCGGCTCGACCGCATCGGGCTGCGCGAGTAGAGGACTCTCTTCGTCTTGAGCTGCAGATGCATCATTGCGCGACTGAGTCTTTCCGACCGCCTCTGTGGCGCTATATCCGGGATTGGTGACCATTTTCTTTGACGGGTGTCACTCGAAAGGGAAGTCAGCGAAGACGTGGGGATCGACGCCATTTCAAGGCCTGGGCTGGCCCCGACGGTCGTTAGTGACCATGTGCTTCCATCGGCATTCCGTTGCGAAGATTGCGATCCGGCACTCCGCGTGGTTTGCAGCGAAGGCCAATGGGTGCGGAGGGGTGTGTTCTCATCGCCATGGTCGAGCACGCCATGCGTGGGGCACGGCGTTATATCAGTGATGGAGCCGGCGGTAAACAGTGCGCTGGGAATGATGCAGTGTGATTAACGGTAGTTGTTGACGAGTTGAACAACTTGTCGAATATATTCACTGTTCTTTTTTGCTGTAGTTTTTTGAATTGAGTCTGTTTTTACTGTGTCTATGTTCGTACCTGACTGTAGTTGACTGCCGATCGCCATTGGGGCTCGCGATGGCATCATGGCTCCACCGCGACGGGTCGGATTAGCCGAGCGTATCGAAATGCTCGGAATATTACGCGTATAGATGTAGCTCGATGAAAAGCCTTTAAAATTTAGAAATGACTGTTCAATGCTGCGCATTCGGCCTTGAAGATGGAATATCTCACTATCAACGGGGAAAAGGTAGACTGTTTACAACTCTCAGGTACCGCTGAACGCAAACAGCCTACGAATCCACGCAATTCTCTTCTCCATCCTCAAGTCAAGGCCCAAGAATGATGAAAAAATTCCAGAAGGGAAGTGCCAAAATAAATCCTCCCAGCCCCCCAAGGGTGACTGGATAGGCGACCACCGCGCCGTGCAATGCGGCAGAAGATCTGTGGTGAACCGCCTTCATTATCGCGGTCCTCTCGGACTAGGTAAGTTGAAGAGGAAAGAAAAGGGGAAAGGAAGAATTGGACCGGCAGGTGGTATTTATACAGTAGGGTGCGATGGGAAGGTACGTGATATCCCGGTCGGGTGTCTGTTGGTGACTAATTCGGAAGGCGCGTGTTGTCATGGCGGGTGTCATGCAGTTGATACAGCTGTGTTTAACACGTCTGGACGGCTGGGTGTGTGATGGTACTGGGGTATGCTTCTCTCTTGGATTATGTCTGTAGTTGGTCCTGTGCAATATGTCAACGGTGTAGTTACGAAGAGATTCAACAACACGCGGCGTCGTTGTGTATACACTCTGGCGTGGAGCTACATCCTTCTCGATTGGAGTCACTACATAGCTTTCACGAATATTTCTCTATCAAATATCGATACATACAACATTTCCCTAGTCTCGTCAATCTGTAAAGCATGACACTCAACCAAAAGCATCTCGACCTCACATCGCCACCCTGTATCTCTTCTCCAAGCCCGAGTCCCTGACCCCAGACATGATGAAAACATGAAAGATCCCACGAACGGAGTGCCAAAATATATGTCCGCAACCGCAGTTGACACCGGCCCCAGGGGAATGCGAAGGGGAAATGGAAGAGAAGGGGGCCTGTGTGGACGCCATCTTCATGATCATGGACGGCCCGGGTGACCCTCATTTCGATATACCTGGGGAAGAGAAGGGGAAAGAATTTGGAAGTAGATGTGATATTTATACCTGCATAGGCGGAGGGAGTGGCAGATTCGACAACACCTGTGAGGGCTGGGCCAATCAGAGGAGTTACCACTAGATCTACGCTGATGTGCACGGGCACATTTGTGCTGCTTCAGGCAACTACGCGGAGGGAGTTCGACTGTTGGGTATTTTGCTGTCTGTACCTCAATCGCAATTGGCAGCCAGGTCTTCCTGTTTCTCCTCACGACTTGCAGCGCATTCGACATGTCCCTTGGGCTTTTGACTTTACTAGTGTAGGTGAGTGCATACTCTTCCCTCACAGTCCTGGCGTCTTGTTCGAAGACGAATCCTAAATCGTTCCTCTTCGCATAGACGTGTATTTCCCACCTCTTGCCTGTACTCGAGTCCCCGGCGCAACACATGATAATGGATGTTGTTTGAATGATCACGGAACTCGCTCGACAAACGACGCTGAAATCCATACGACATTCTCGAACGTCGGCGTTGACATTGCAGTGTGGTTGCTGCTATTGTAAGCTCAAATTACGGGACCGTACATTGTGTCGTGGGGTCTCCAGACCGCGAATTCGTTGGATATATCCATTTAAGCCCATTGGTCGTCTGGAGAGTACCAACAAGTTTCCATGCAGACATTGTCAAGTACAAACTGTTCCTCTTCATCGTTTGCACTTTGACAACTGATATGATAAGACCGTATCGTCCACGCACTTCAGACATATGATATGATGGGGTGCTGTACCAAGTTTAAATCGCAAAATCCAACCGCCAAACGTCCCCCAGCCGCTCATTCGACTCCGCAAGTCCCCCATGAACAACAACACTCGCACCCTCCGAATCAGCAACGACACCCGCATCAAACCATCCACGCCCCTCAGGCCGTTCACCCTCCACCAAAACCTTCCTCCACACCTCCGATCCGATATCAAACACCCACACATCAGCCAACATCTTCCCAGCCCCCTGGTGACCGAGGCTACTGGGGTCACGTTCTCCGAACATTGTAATCAGACTCGGTCTTCCAGCAATAGACAACGCAAGCAAACAACTCACGCTTCGTGAGCTGGGACCGGAAACACCATCCGGCGAATACGAGATCGTACTCCACGCATTCGTCGCCATGTCAAAGACGTCAATTGCCCCGCCTTGCTCTTTGTTCCCGTCAAAGCCGTTCATGCGGAAGATTTTGCCCTGGCTGTACGCAATAGAGGTACCGCCGCGCTCGGGCGCAGGAGCGGGCAGCAGTTCTTTCCAGGTTCGGGTGTGGATGTTAAAAGACCACAGATCGCCCAGTCGGCCCTTTGTGGGACAGCCGGCGTGTAGGTAGATCGTCTCGGAGCCGTTGTTTGTCAAGGCGTGGTAGCTTCGTCCGGTTGGGTAGGGGTGTTTCGGGTTTGCGACTTTGAGCTCAGCCCAGGTTTGCGTCGATGGGGTAAATTCCCAGAATGAGCCGTGCTCTTCGATGGGCGCCATTGCTGTGCCTCCGCGCCCGGAGAAGATGTAGATTTTTCCATTGAGGGCGGTTGATGCGGCACCGACCCGGGGCTGCGGACTAAGACTCGGCGCTATGGCCGAGGGCTCTTTGTTTAATGATGCTGTGCATGGATTAGAAATGTGGCGTTTCCAAGGTCGTTGGAAGAAATTACTTGGGCTCAGCTGAATGGAATACACGGTCGAGTCAACCGGTTCTCGTGGGCGTAGTTCACCCCCGTAGATGTATGCATTGTTGCCGAGGACGGCGAGTGTTTGCGAGGATCTGGGGACTTCATTGTCCGAGGATAGTTTGGTCCAAATGCCGCCAGTCATTTTGTCAGACTGTTTTCTTTTCCAGCTGGCAATTCTGTGAGAGAAATCAGGATGGGCGGGATTGGGGTTTAAATAATTTGAGTGAACCCATCATGACATGAACTCGACAGCAGCGACAAGGGGACCTTGTTGGAATGCAGAAAACTTGCGACGAAATCGTAATTCCCATGCGCTGCGTAAAATATGCCTCTAGTTGGTTTAGCCGCTCCACTTCCCCGCGTTTTGGTCGACGATCGGCATTCGGTTCAGTCATCTGCCGGTATCACGATTGTATCGTCCCGTCCGGCGTACAATTCTTCCCGTTTTGGCAGCGTTGATGGGTGGGATCACCATCGCCGAGAACGGGAGGCTTGGATGCAACAGGTTTGTAGGAAGAGACGATTCGTCCGATCTACGTTTTTCGTCCCAATTTGCAGAATTCAAGCTAGTGGCCTTTTCTCCATGAAGCTCGTTCCGTCTTCCGTGTGCCCACATACAACGAGACTAATCGATTGATCGACGTCTAACAGCTTATACTTCGGAATATCTTCAGGAACAGCCGGTAAGGTGAGTTCCACTGTGTGGCCGTCATTCCAGTATGCTCCGATCTGACCGACGATGCGTTTGACCAGGTGGGTCGGGTAATGCGAGTGTTCGTAGCCCTTGCCTGTTGCTTCGAGTCGAGGCCAAAGCGTGTCGAATATGAATGTGAAGATCTTATCTGATCGATAAAGCTGGACGAGTTGGAGCAGGGACTCGGCGAGGCTGAGAGTGTATACGTCGGATGTGTTGGAGATGGCTGGATTCACTGTGCTGGCGATTTCGCAGAAACTATCTGCTAGGTTTTCGATTGGACGACAATATTTCGGCATTGAGGGTTTTGAGGAGGCGTTGAATTCGGTTGTCCCGTCGAAGGTTATCTCACATAGGCGGCAGTAAAGTGCGTTCATCGTGTCGCGGTGCGTGTAAAATTGATCTGCCTGTGGCGCTGAGACATCTTTGCTTTTCGTCTCACGAGGACAGTGTAGATTACACGGTAATTGATCAGCCCGAAGCCTTGATCGCCAGACTGCCAATCGTTCCTTTTGAACATTCAACAGTTCAAACAAGTGCGAGCTCTGCAAAAAGCCCTTTCTGGCTTCGGCATACCCTTCAGGGGTGCAAGGCCGACCCAACATCGTGTTCAGGGTCTCGTACGCCAATATACCGATATCACTGGGCTGCTCAGGTACACCATGACAGTCCGCAACACAGCGAGACACCACTAGCTTTGTCCGAATCTCCAATGTTTTGATTAGGATGTCGTATATCAAGTCATCCGTACTCATTCCAAGTATGCAGCTCATGTACAAGTGTTCAGTAACGTCCGGAAGGAGATTTGGTGCTGATGAACTGACTCCTTGGCCTTCCAGGAGGAGGGCGGGCGACTTCGACGGTCGATGTGATGTGCATAGACGAAACCACATTTGTAATGCGTCTGTACCCCCTGGTGCATTGAGGATATCGCCTCTATTCGCTATCACGAACTTGACCGAATCTGTCACTGCGAGTCGGAATTTCTCGTGGTCGGTTGAGGCGTGGTGGTATAAGGCGAGTAAAATGTAGGATACAAGTATCGAGGGGGCGTTTTCGTGAATAGCTCCTTTGTATGCACTGTGTAAGTACCAGACTGCCAGGTCATTGTACATTACGGCATTGCGGTCGTGAACTGGGTTGACAAGCGGGCTGAACACCGATGTTCGCTCGCTGGCTGCTAGGACACGGCTCTGCACGGGAGTATCAAGCATTGATAAGCTCGATGCTGATAGACACAACATAGCGTATCTCAAGTGTAGAGGCTGAGAGACACCCCCTGTGAATCTGCGACAAGCTGGATGGAGAGATTGCTGGACGTGCGAAAAGAAATGGCCAAGATAACGCGAGTCGACATTCGCCTCGGACACCAGAGAAATCGGCAGCTCTTTCGAATACGGCTCGTCGAAGAGTTTTGGGCCTAAGTCAAATTTATTCTCTCTTGCAATGGTAATTGCACCGCGAGTAGCTGCCATCGATGGCCATGATGTCTCCTTTGTCGTAGCCACTTGCCGCTCAAACTGCATCCCAGTGGTATTTCGAAAAGAATATTCAACCGCATAGGAGCACTCAAGCCTCAATTTTGAACAAGCTCTGCAAACTGGCTTCGCCTCATCACACTGGCAGTAATCAGCAGGTGTCGCTGGTAGACGATGGAGAAAACTTACACGCTTCCCTCTCTTCCGACACGTTTTACACCCCGAGTGACTCCGACGGATCTTCTGATTGCCTGCCCTGGCGGGGGTCAGTTCTGCCGGCATATTGAGGCCTCCAGGAGAGATCCTGGATGTGTGCCGCTCTTTTTTAGGAGTGCTCGTCGGTGAAGATGCGACGCGCCGAAGAATTGCCGATTGTGCTTAGTAAGCGATTCATATTTGAAATGAGAGGATTTTTCAACGCCCATTGTACACTGAAAAATAAGTATGCAAAGCTAAGGTGCCTTGGAATGGACTGAGACTTTTCATTATTTGCTTTGTTGGGATCTTTTTGCATAGATTTTCTGTTTTGGCAGAGATGGGAATGCGTGTGGTCATGTGTTCGGTAGAGCTGTGATGAACAGGACATCGGAAAGAACACATTGACTTGTAGATCAACATCTAACTCAGCAGAACTTCAAAATAACAAGAGAAACAAGAATAAAAGACACCTGGACCCACAAACACACCAATATAAGAAACTCGTCCTACGACTCCTCCCTCACCGACCCCGATACAAATTGGCAATGGCAGTCTTGTTCGCACCAATCAAAAGATCACCCTTGGGGTGGGTAGCAGTGAACAATGTCTTCTGGATGAACGGACCAGAAGCATGCGATTGGCCCAGACTAATGTCATTCACCAGACAAGCCATCGCCGTCACCTTCTCGGCGACCTCATGTCCGTCGGCCATTAGCTGCACCTCGACTTGGAAGGTCAGGCGAAAGACAGCACCATTGGATGTTTCGAGTCGGATCATTGGGCCGAGGTAGTGATATTCGCTATCCAGACCCAGCTCAATCGCTTCGTCCATGTAGATCTCAAGGTAGGAGGAGGCTGTGTCGTGGACAACGCAGTTGAGAATGACGGGGCGGTTTTCTTGGTCGACGAGGTTGACGGACAGGCGGTACTGCATGAGTTAGGAGTTAGTGAGATGGGTGCCAGTATGTGCGAGGTTGATTGACCCTACGTAGTGAAGGAATCCATTGTTGTCAATTGGTCGAATTCGCTCTTCCAGTCTCTTTTCCAGGACCGATTCCCGAGTGCACTACTTCGAATGTCAGTAGTGGATCAATGAGCACAAACATTCGTCTCAATGGATGTACTTACATCCCAGGGATTCTCAATCCACATTAATCCAGGTCCGTACATCTCCCTCCACTCCGCAAGACGCTCCGTCACCAGCTCATTGACATCAAGGTTCCTCGCCGCCGGCTCGTGCTCGCGAACCACCATCCTACCTGCATACCAGACAGTGACTTTATTGGGATAAATGCCCAGTTCATTGCGGCTGTAGCAGTCGACGAGGGACTCGATGTTTTCGACGATCCACTGGGACCCTGTATCTCCGAAGAAGTTGGAGACGGCCTCTTGCATCTCGATCACATCGTGTTGAATTGCGGTGATACGGGTGGAGATTCCAGCGAACGCGACGCCGATGTTGTCGATACTGAATTGAATGTGTTAGAGAGGATAGTAGCACGTTTGGGTTTCAGACTCACGGGTGTCCCAGTGGCAGGTTCTTCTTGATCCATCGCAGCAGTGACTTGCATTCCTCTTCTTGTCTAGGGACAGCCATGCGGGTCTTCAATCTGGTGATCAGCTCGTAAACGCGCCTGTGACGGGTTAGTTTGGGGTAAACCGTGGTAAATTCGTTACCATACGAGGGATACTCCATGTCGTGGATGCAGCGCTCGACGTCGTGGGCATTGTAGCGCTTCAGCATCTTGCGGATGGTCATGGGTCGCAGTCCGTAGTTGCTGTCGGGTTTGAGGTTGATCTCGCTGTCTGAAGTGGTGTCAGTCACGCCCAGTTACACTCTAATGGGAAGGAGCATACCCGACTCGGCACTATCGTCCTCCTCTTCCTCGCTCTCACTCTCTCTCTCTTCAGCGTCTTCTTCAGGCTCGCTGTCTTGCTCTTCGCTTTCCTCATGATCGCTCTTGTCCTCATGATCGCTTTTTGCGGAGGTGTCTCCTCCAGGATTGTAGAAGACTTCGCTGCCGGACTCGTCCACGTCCTTCTCTCGGTGGCGGGCTACAGCATGATCAAGAGAATTTTGGTGCATGAGTCTCTCTTCTTCCAGTTCCTCCTGCTTTTGGCGTTTATTCTTCTTTTGGCGTTCCTCCTCATTTCGGCGGCGTTGTGCGGCCCCCTCAGCCTGCTTTTGGAAGTAGATTCTCTCGGATTCCTCGGTGCCTCGTCGGGAAAGTTCTCTGATGACCTTTTTTGTCGTGGCGGAAATTGGGACGATGTCTACGACCTCGCTGCTGGAGTCACTCTGAAGCTCCGTCGGAACTTCACTGGCAATGTCGTTTTCATCGTCGTTGCCCTCTTGGCCGCCATCATTGGGTCGCTCGCTCACTAGCTTGCTTCTGCTTCGGTCACGCTTGCTGTCGTGTTCGCTCTCATTTTCGCCGACAGCTTCCTCGTCTTCAGAGCTTGCCTCAGAATCGTTTGGTTGCTTCCGTTTCTCGCCACGAGGGCCCTCCAATTCTGTGATAGCATCCTTGTTGATAACGCCAATTAACATGTTGTCTGCTACTCTGTGAATTCCGAGCAGGAATGCCTCTGGACCGAAGACACCCAGAGTTCCATCCCACAGCTCGTTGCAGTCGGCCGGGATTGTCTCGCTGTATGTGTCGATGATTCCTCGGAATAGCCGGTGTCCGTTGGTATCGCCAAAAATCTTTCCAAATTCACGAGGATATTGAATGGTAGGATTAGCCTTGGGAATAGCGGCGAGGAAGGTGCCACTCTCTCTGATGCGGATGATTTCCCAGAAAACGTGCATGGTGAAAATGCCGTCCCCGGAATCGACCAGGTCGTCAAGAGGGAGGAGCTTGCTGTAGTTGTCCGGACCGAACCTACGAGCGAGGATGATACCGTCTTCATCTTGATCCTCATCCTCTGCATTGTCGTCCATTATTTTTCGGATTGCCTTTTCGTCGATGCTGGTCTTGTTGGTGAACAGAGGTGCAACGCCGTCTTTGTTGACAACGCCAATCGTCACGTGGTCTGAAGTTCGACAGACCTTGAGCAGGTTGGTGTTGGGACCGAACATTCCCGAAGGACCATCCCAAAGTGCTGGCGAGTCACCTGGAATAATCTCCGTGTCTGTCTCGACAATGCCGCTGAGTAGACGATTGCCATCATAATGCCCGAAGAGATTCACAAAATCATCCGGGTAAAGACTCCGAGGGTTGGGTTTAGGGAGAGCAGCAAGGAACGTGCCCTCTAAATCTCGAATGATCTCCCAGAAGAGATCTCGCATAAACAGACCTTTTCCGGCGCTTGTAAAGTCCTCGTGAGACAAGGGTCTCGCATAGGTACAATCACCAAACAAAAGGGCCGCACTGACAACAACTTCGTCATGGAGAGGCCCATCGGTAGTCCCGTCAAACCCCGCGGTAGAGCAGCCGGAACGGGTGGAACCCATTTCAATCTCCATGCTGCTAGTTACGGACGAATGCGCGGAGCTTACTGAACGCGCGATGGAGGGAGATGTCCTCATTGTGGGGAGCGATGCAAATGGAGGACCATCGACGAAGGATGCAAGCCCATCACCACCATCATCGCCATCTTCACCATCATTCAGGCTTTTGGCCAGAGGTGGGGTTGGTGTACTGCGAACGAGGCTTGTCGCTCTTCGAACGGCATCAAACATGGTGCCGTATGGAAATATACAGACAGCAGAAGAAAATTGCAGTCTACCAAAGTAGGTCTAAGAAGGATATTCTGGATTTTCTGTGTCGAACGATTAAAGAATCTGTTCTGATGAGATGGTGTCACAGGGAAACGTCCGCTTTATGTCTCTGCTTGACAAAGAAGACACTCGAGGGTGAGGGTGGGAATGGCATGGGCGTGGAGGAGGGATTCCGTCTCAAAGAACTGGAGCCTGGAGACAAAGCATCTCTACATTTGTGAGTTAGATCCGCATTGGGACAGGCTGTCTTTGATTGCTTTGATGAATTTTTTCGAGGATTGTCAATCTCGCGTTTCCCTCACGTTGTTTGGGTTTTTTATCCCCATTTTTCCATCTTAAAGTGGCTGTTGTTCTATTCAAGCCCCATAGCCACATTATATATTTCTGGACTCTTGTGCTCAAAGATACACCATGTCGCTCGCGACGGAATCACCCTTTGACAGAATGAAATCTCTTCGCTCAAAGATTTTAGAGCCGACTCTCACCAGTACGTCCCGTTTACGTCGTCATTTGCATCTCAGTTGTCCTTCGCCACGTGACAGCTAAATTGCCACAGACGAAAGGAGGTGTATCGGGAAAACCGGAAAAAGACCGGCAAAAGCACGGCATGCCTACAATTCAAGCTGAAGGTACAATACAATATGTAACCATAATACACAGCCATTCTGGTTTAGTAAGCACTGCAGAACCAAAAAAGGGAGGTCGTTTTGAGTGTATATGTGACCTGAACACCTGCGGGTGGGTCAGGCCACACCTGATAAGCCCGATAAGTCCAGGCCACACCTAATTTCTTGGCACCTGTAATTTATTTCTGGCGAATACATTTAATAAATTACTGATGTATTATTCACTCGCACTGAACCATGGGTCAGGCGGGGTAGTTCTCCTTCATCTCATTCTAGTGTTTGCACCCACACCCAGTATGGCAGCCTTTTTAGAGGACGACCAAGATATCGGTGAATCCCTTGAGCAGGAGCTTCAGCAGGAGCTTCGGCGGCAGCTTAATAGTGAGGAGAGTGCAGTTCCTGCTACTGTTCAAGGGACCCCTGGACCTACAGATGCTCTAGATGAACCTCCGGTATGACGATAATATATTCTCAATATTTAAGTATACATTAATAATATATTGTGTCTTTAGGAATTCCTACGGACTATCTTACACGACAAGCGCTCGCCGATTCGAACACGCTTTATCGAATATACTTCAGCGCTACCTGAATATCCCCGGACAGACCCGGATGGCTTCACATATGTGATCAATGTGCCTGATCGGTCATTGTTCGCAGTGGAGCAGTCAATTGAAGGAGTATATTAATATCCCATTAATATATTGATAATATGTTAATAATATATTAGGTGCAATACTCGTCAAAACAAGCCTATCGAAACAGACGTAACCAGCATGATTCTATCTTTGGAGAAAGGGTCGCTTTTCTACACAGCCTCTACAGATGTACAGGCATAAAAATGTGTGAATTTACAGATCCTGAGCTCAAGCAAATGGTGCATTCGCATGTTACTGAGGGTATTTGGCAGCGAATCAAAGAGCTTCGCCAACATATCGCATTCAGTGATACCCAAAACCCTCTACAACCAGCAACATATAGGTTGTACCAATCTACGATGCGCCAATTCAAGATCAATCGCACTTCATGTGGATCTTGGAAGGATACTTGTTCGCCGCGCGGTCGATGGGTTCAGGATGTAAGTAATATACTACTAATATATTCTTAAAATATTTCTAACCTGTTATTTATATATCAGAGTGTTATTGGTGGATCTGACTTTTATATCTATTGCTCTAATTCATATGAAAGTCCAAGGTCTCATTTTGCATCATGTGTGCGCCCTGACTCTGGTATCGACAGGGAATTGCTTAGGCGAATCCTTGATGGAGAGGTCCAGGGAGAAATTCAAACCTGTGGTTATATCGACACAAATCGTCATCGTGGAGACTATTGTGGTAAGGAATATATCTTTAATACATTAAGAAAATATTATTAATGACTATATTATAGAATTTGACCATACACGTGGGCTTGGTAAAATTAAAAGGCACAAATGCTCCGTTGAGTTCCATTGGTTTATTCCAATAGACCTCACGTCCAATCCATTTTGGGTTTTTACCTCAACCGGGATTCATATGCACCCTCCGCCACCTCCATCGAAGCCTCCACCCGCAATTATAGACGGATTAGTACGAATAATCCGCCTACAGAACAATCCTGCATTAACAACAGGTAAAGTTCTTTCTAATATGTTAGGAATATATTAAAGAAATATTAATAATGTTTTATCCTAGGACGTTTTCTCGTTAGCCCTGAGCTTCGGGGTCTATGCAAGCGATACAATAATAGCGAGTCGCTGCTCAATGTCCATGAAAGCTTTGCTAATTTAGACCGGATCAGCACACTCATTCGAAAGGAGAGACTCCTACGATTTCCTCATGGACAGGATATCAATGGTTTGATCTTTGAGATGGAAAAGGATCCTCCTTTAAAGGTATGAAGATAATAGGTCGTGATATAATGAGAATATATTATAATTAACCTTTTTGTAGGACTACGTTCAGCATATCTATCAAGACCCTGACCTTATGGTTATTTGCTTCACATCTGACATGGCTGAGCTTTTCATCCAATCTGAATCGGTAGAGATTGACATGTCTTTTAAACGATTCAAAGAAAGGTCAATGCGAGAGGTTACATTTTCAAAATATATACCTGAGCAAGACCGAGGTAAATATTACCCTAATATATTAATAGTTCTTTATTAATACAATGTTCTTCTAGTTTTTACACTAGCACGTGTGATTGTCGTTTCCGAGACCCATTCAACCTATTATCTCCTATTTACTCGGCTTTTTGAGTGCATAGAGCGTGTGCTTAGTCGCCAGTTCTACTTTTATCCAATCCATCGTACGGGGCTACATGCTGTCGTTCTGGATATGGATACAAAGCAATACGGAGGTGAGAAATAGATCATATACTATTAATATATTACTAATACGTTATAGGTCTTAGAGACTTTCTCGCTGATAAGAGTACTCTTCAAGTATCGCCTGATGATCTTATCCAACACTTCGTTGTCTTCTGCAGAGCCCACTTCTACAGGGGTATTGATAGAGCACTTCGTGGGCAACAGGTCGCTCCTGGATGTAGGGAAAGGATGCGAGCAGTGATCGATATTCCGAATCGAGAGGAGTATATTCAAGCTTTAGACTGGATAATCGGTAAATATACTCTAATCGGTTCTTAATAGGTTATTAATTTATTATTAGAGCATGAATCATCTGTTGTCATTCAGCAATGGGCTCGCCATAAAAAACTGCCTTACGTTGCGGCAGCTTTGAATAAAGCTTGGAGTCAGATACCTGATGTGATTTTCGAAGGACTTCGAAAGAACACAAATGCAGTGGAGCAATCGCACCATATGATCAATAGTACTGGTGTTCAGCTTTCACTACTACAAGGGGTTTTGAAGTAAGTTCTTATTAATTTCGTCGTAATATATTAATAGTATATTAATACAATATTTCTAGTTCTTTTGCCCATGATAAGAACCGCATGCAAGCTTATTCTATTCGTCAAGTAACCGGAATTCGACAAAGGTATCGGATGAATGGTATTCATGCAGCATTCGATCGTCACCTAGCAAAGGGTAAGTTGATACGAAGAATATATACAATACATTATTAATCATTTCTATAGAGCAAAAAAGGCGCCAGGAGAGGCTACTAGAAGAGGAACTCAATCAGCTTGAGAGCTCATCGAACATAGATGAGTTCTTCGCATCTGATGAGACAAGTGTACGGTATACGACCTCAGGTGTACCAATTTCTCGACGTTCAGCTAGTGTACCAAGGAGATCTAGTACTAGATCCCCTACCGCTACTCCTCGCCGAACAAGAACACCTACACCAAGGTTAGTACTCTATGATGTTTTAAGAATATTTTATTAATATATTACAGAGCTCAAAGCCTACAACGGGTTGCCTCTGACAATTTACGACAAGAGCATAATAGTCTTGCTATCCAAAAGCTTGAACATCAGCTCCGAGAGGAGGACTTAAAGGCACAATTGCTCGAAAAGCAGCTTGCTAATCGTAAACGGCAGCAAGAATTAGATGAGATAGATAGACAGGTAAAGCGTAGGTAGGTTAAAATATGCCCACTTCTATTAACTCTAACAATTTTGGTCAAGGAATTAAGAATAATTGTAAATTTATGCTTCCTCCTCGAGACGCTCAAAGTCTGCGTCCACATCCCAAAAGCGAGAAAGATACTCGCAGGTGAATGGGGCAGTACCGCATTCTATTATGATATATTAGCAATGCATTAAGGATATATTAAGAATCGCTTACTGATATTAGCAGTGATACAGGCGTTGCAGTCATCGTGTATATGCTTAGTGGCGAGGAAATCCCTCACGGCTTTAACCGAAATCTATAATATATTAGCAATCTGTTCTCAATAAATCAGAGATAACTTACCTTCCGATTCTTGCCTTTACCCTTCGTGAAGTCGCGGCTTCGTAGAGATACGGGCAACAAGAGCAGTGTACCAAGCTAAAATCATATATTAGTAGTATAACAAGAATAAATTAGGGATGTGTTAATACCCTTGACCTCGTCCATCTCCTTGATAGCGTGGCGGCCCTTACTAGCGTACTTACCAGAGACCGTCACGCCTTGATGACCGGTGAGGTGCGTCTTGAGGTTGCCAGTGTGAGAATACTGCTTCTGATAATACATTAGTAATAGATTCAGAATATTTTAAGATCATATAGCATACCTGGTGATCGCAATCCTCGAATCGACAGAAAAGCTCTCCAGGAAGGACAATAACGCTACCATCATCATCCTAGAAATGCATATTAGTCATATATTCAAGGTCACTATTAGGATTTTTTAGAAGCACAGATGGCGCATTCAATATATATTTCAATGCCCAGGACAATCAGAAACCCCACTCAGAGATGTTTCCACTCACCTTCTCATACGCGGGTAGTTCTAGCATACCGGCCTTCGCATCCGCCACGTATTGCTTGTATGGGGCGTGGGACTCCAGGAAACGCACCATCTTGACTCAGGGACCTGTACGGTGTAACTAGTTAGGATTCGACAATAATAGATTAATAATTTGTTCTTGATGAAAATAGGCGGGGAGTTGGGAGGGCTCACGATTGGTGGAGAGGAGGAGGGGTGTGGAGATTGAAAGGGTTGGTATTGCCAAGAAGTTGGTATTTGACCTGGCCAATCATAATAGATTACTAATCTATGCTCTACACCTGGAAAATAGATCTTCCGGTCAGGTGTGGCCCGACCCACCTGTTACTGTCGGCCTGATCTGCTTCCTGGTATTTGACCACCCCCTCAGTTTGTTACATTATCCCGCGGTACGCCATTGCGAGTGAATGAAGGAGTCGCTTCTTATCATTCAGATCTTTGGAGATGGTTTCCAAGGTCCGGGTTCGGATATCCTCTTGCCGAGATTCATCCACAATCACGATTCTGGCTGGTGGTCGGAATTTCCTTCTATGGCATAGGTCTCTATCCTTGGCGGTTGGAGGAGTGGACTAAGATACCAACTGCTGTTCCTGCCATGGCTGGCAAGAGAAATGACCGACGAGCGGGAATTCCGAGTGAAGATTGTCTAGTGAGTACACTGGATTGTTGCTCATTTGGACGAGGCTAATGCTGTTACAGATCGATCCAAAGGCGTGGAATGAATTGCGGACGGCTGTCAAAATCAACGAATTGTATTACGCATGGAGCCGTTGCTGAACAGGAAAAGTGAAGTTCCTCTGACTTGGACGTAGGAAATTCGCGTTAACAGAAAAAATGTGCGAACAGTCCCGGTATCCACGCAAATGGGCTACCATTTCTACCTTTCGTGGGCGGAAAGTGATCCGCTTCTAGGAGAAAACTCTACCTTTTGCCATTGAGACTACTAGGCCAGATACGACCTCCCGAGGCTTTCAACTGGTTGTGGCGAATAATGTGCAGAGAAGCCTTGACAGACTAGACGTCATATCCTGAAGGTCCGAGAAGCTGGAGCAGTTGCAGAAAAGTTTCATTGGAAACAGACATTCAACTCTTACCTTGGCCGTATTTAAGGGGTCGGAGCTCCACATACGGAGCAACTGAACCCTTGTCTTCCTGGTCCTGAGAGGGCTGCACGCCAAGTGGATGAAGAGGCTCTGGCGTGAAATACTCTCAACAGTCCAGTTCATGGTCCGCTGTCGAGCGAGGTCAACTCTGGATAGAAAGGATTGGCAAGACGCACACAACGAGACCGACGGAGAACTTGGGCTCATACGCTGTCGAGGGTTTACCTTTTCTCGTGAAAGCCAGGATTGAGAAAGTGAAAATTCAAGATTACCTTGCAGATTTCGATGTTTCTACTGTGATCTGGAAGACGTCCTCCCCGTGGCACGCCTTTGACAGAGGTGGAACTTGCTTTCCTACCCCCGTGGCTGTTGCTAGGACAGTACATCTGGGTCCGCATGTATGCTGAAAGGAACCAATATCCTATATAATGCAGTACATGCTCCTTGATGGCTCAGTATGCGTGGGTGACACAATATGAGTTCCACCCTCTTCACACAACGAGCTACGGCCGGATATGGGCAACACTGAACTATGATTACAAGGTGGAAACCAACCGCCAGAAGAGAAAGACAACTCTCTCCAAAAGTGTACAGCGCGTACCAAGCGAGTCAGTCATCAGCCATTCATGAAAGATCAAGCGGGACTGGCAAAGCTGCCCGGATCCGGTCTAGGATCTTCGTCTCACAGGCCTTTATCACCTTAAAGAGGTTGGTGCGACTGTCCAAATGCTTTTTTTACTTTTCCGAGTCACATTTCACATACGTGCTCCTCTTCTCATGTATTCTGAAGCAATCCAGAAGCGGACTGCAGGGTACGAGAACAAGCTCCCTGTATTTCCTTTCCTCTGGGGTTGGCCCTGACGGAAGAATACTGCATTGTGAAAATCACACGAACCAAATAGATCACATTCTCTACTACTGCCCTGCTGGATTTAAAGATGACCGCGCTGACCTGGTAACTGTACCAAGGTCGAGCCCGTCCATTACTCTCGGCGTGAGGTGTTCGCACAACTTTAACTTGCTGGCACACGCCATCTAAGGGTACCCACCACTTGTCATTCTGCACGCTTTGTGGGGTGCGCGATGGCATATTCGAAGCGTGTCCACCCTGGTGGACCATGACACCTCGCTTCGGTGTTAAGTCTTCGCAAAGAAGCGCCGAGGTGGACATTTGAAAGTGCGGTTTGACAGGGGTAGCTGAGGTTCTGTATGGGTTCAAGTGGGCGCGGACAGAAATCGCAACAACCCTACCATTCCGCTCTGCGCTGGTACCCTGACCCGCAACGGCCAATATGAGAGACACTCCTGGGCAACCCCTAATCCCACATCACAAACAGTCTAGGCTTCATGTGATACCCTATTCAGGCAGACATGGCGGTCCCCATAACAGATCAGCGGATGGAACTAAAAGCTACTCACCTTAAGATAGAGGAATGACATGTCCTAGTCGAAGGGGCAAGATCGGTTTTTGTTGCATCGATTCTGTCAATAAGGATCCGGATTGCTCGTGAAATCAACAACTGCTGCCTTTCTCTGGAAAATGCAGCGAAAGAAATTAAGGTCTTTCCTCCGTGTGGAATAGCTGATGTGGCGGGCAGGAGGCCCTGATCGTGGACGTCGGCTAGTGGAGAAGAGGGAAGTGATCCGTCACATCTCTGTCTCAAAAACGCCTTTCACTGGCAATCTTAGACTGCTGCTACTTTCGATAATAGCGTCGCACATTCACAGGTCGGAACTGGACTCTCACCTAACCCACTCCATGCCGGACGAGAAGCAGAATCACGTCATGTCAAGCCGTGAAGATTCACCAGTTCTTGGAGTGCTGCTTTGCGAATGACGAACATTGAAAGGGCCCTAAGGGGAATACGAAGATATAAGCCAAGCAGCTGGCTACAGCATCCTGCGGTGAGGGTCAGGCACTGAGGCCTAAACGAGATGCTAGATCGTCCTGTTGCCAGCTCAGAATATAAGCCCCTTTACCTGGAGCTGAAACGAAATACCGAGAGGATATTTTAAAGAAACCGAATCTCGAACAGCGGCATTTGTGGTGTATGAGAAACCTACTATATTCCTTCTGCTCCGACTGCCAGATCATGTCATGACGCAATTTAGTCAAGATGGCAGGAAAAAGAGGCTTTATTCAGGTTAACTACCTTTTTGGTGTGTGTCCAATGATCTCTTGGCCGCACATTCGGCGTAATTGGAAGACCGTGGTGTCTGAATTCGGCCGGCTTGTGAGCAAAATTATCCATCAGCAGACATGGCTCCACGTGATCCTGCCGTTTTGACAGGGCTCCTTAACAGTGCGAGTTGCGAGAAACGGCAACTTAAGATTCTGTCGTCTATTATTACCACCTAAGGGATCACTAAACACCGAATGATGTCTCGGGGGAGAAGATTGAACGATACGGCACTTATCCGGTTCCTCGTCGAACATTCAAATGCCGAAAGGAGCGAGGTTGGGTGCGTCAACGAATTATCGCAGGTTACACCACAGATTCCCGTTGGTCAAGAGTCATTTCAGAACTACAGCGAATCGAAAAGCTCGCTGACCGATGAATACCCCGATCCCATACGTCGTCGAAGAGGGCTTATTGTTCTCAATCCAGCAGGATTATGACGATCGTTGGCTATGCATACCATATAATATGGCGGAAGACATATTCCGTATGGTTCACGACGATTAGGGTCATCAAGGGCTTGATCGATGTTGGCACAAGCTGCGTGGCTTAGTTATCTACCACGGCTGGAGCAGGCTTAAGAAGTACGTCGCCATGTGCGATGAGTGCCTGTGGAACGGAGTGCGACGCCATCGCCCGTATGGTTCCTTACAGCCAATAATGTCACCACCAATCCCATTTCACACACCGACTTCGTCGTTGGCCTGCCGTTAACACCAGAGGGCTATGAGACTGTCGTCATGTGTACCTGTCGTAAGAGTGTGGTGGGATAGTGACGTCGCGCTCGAGGTACACTGGCCGCTCACGTCTACTGTGCGGTTTGGCATGGATAGCGATTGGAAAAGTCAATCCCCGACACGAATCGATGCGCGCGACATCACTATCCCACAACACTCTTACCGCGCAATCCCAGTGGCAGTTCGCGACAAGCTTCCTGACGATAGAGATTACCTGTTTGAGGTTGATCACGCATCTGAAGACGTCACGCGTGCTCAATTTCAAGCGTGCCTAGTCGACGCTAACTTCTCATAGGTGGACGCTTTTAACAGCTCAGACGGCGCCATCACCTTACGTCGACGCACGAGAGTGGGCAAGCTGCATGAGACTGAATTTCCGATGGCTTGTTATGTCCACTCGGAGGCCGGAACTAGCGCCGATGGAAAAGTTCGTTCAGAAGCAACAACCGAGCGACGTTCACCAGCCATCAAAGCCACGTCCTTCCCCGAGCACGATTGTTAGTCGGACCCGTTTGACGGTTCCATGGCTGTGCTGCTATCAGACGCTGTCCCTGAGCTTTCGTGCATGGCTGCTGCGGTGATGCTTGCTGCGTGTGGGAGGTGAACTGGGACGCTGTCGTTTGGGACGAGATCTGCGGCTGCCCAGGAAGCTGACGTTGTTGGTGACTTACTCCGGCGTACTGGCGTTGTTGGTTGAACCCTTGGCTGTAACCTTGACCGTAACCTTGGTTGCGTGTTTGACCGAATGGATATTGTCGTGCGTACGTTGACGTTGTGTCGTCGTATCTTCTATCCTGAATCTGAGTCGTCTTCCACTGTGGGCCAGTGGTAGGCTGATAGGCGTTAGCGATCGGATGTCGCTGATATCGCTGAACCTGTTGCATGTGGGGTCGCGCCCGGTTCGGAGGTCGCGATGCTTGGGACACGTTACGTCTAGCTGCAATTTTTGACCATTGCTGGTACCGAGAATCGAGTTGATCCATGAAGGCGGAGACCGTCATCGCATGCGTGGGTTCAGAGAGTCTGCTAGAGCAGCGCCCCACACGGCTCGCTCACAGCTATACCCCTCAAGTGTGACCAGGTGGACTTTTTTGGCATCAGTATTCTTCGATCGCTGTGCATTTGCCTGCGCCCGGTACGGGAGACTAAACAGGGGTAGATGTCGCTGGCTTGGCGATCACATTTCAAGAAATCAATCAAGTGGCCCTGGTTGATTGCCTGATCAATGTTTGATGTACACACAGCCTCAGCCTGGAATACCGGCTGTTCAGGGATGATTTCCTGTAGCAGGCGATGATCGGAAGGATTCTCGGCGGAACCATGAGTGGCAGTTGTGATCGATCATCAAAAAACCCTTATCGCCTGCCTCAGCTTCATGTGAATCATTTTCCAGCGTTCCAATTCGGGCGTCTGGCCTGATGAAGTGGCTCTGACGGCGTACCTAGAATGACACTACGTGAAATTCTTTCGGGGTCCGGCTAGCCCAGGCGAGTCCAATTGCCGGAACCACTGTACTCACAAGTCAGGATTACAGTCCTGGTAATGAGGTTCCTAAATAATGGGTTCATTGTCAGAGTGACAAAACTTCTGCTCAACAAATTCGCAATGACGCTTCGCATGTGTACTCTTTCGTACACGGGCCATGCGGCCGTTGTCTCAAGGTGGGTAAGCATGATCAACAGAACCACCCCTTTATGCCCCCGGAGTCAATTGAACACTCAGGCGCGTTTTAGCACTCAGGCGCGTTTTAGCACTCAGGCGCGAGGAGCGACCAGACTGCAAAGGAGACCAGTGATATCCAATAATTCTCCATGGATTGGTAAATCTATGGCAGCTCTATTCCAGCATTCCTAAGCAATTGCTGGGGAACATTCGTTCCTTATATTTGCATCGTGCCGTCCTCGCTGTCATTGCTGGTACCACTCGTGATATATCAATCAAACGAGTTCAGCAGAATCAACATCTTCAGGTCGCTCTCGTGAGAGAATTGTCGACCCATTGCAATGGTCACTGGATCCCAAAAGCCTGTGACCGGCCCCGACGGCGACACGTCATGAGCATGCGTATCTGGATGTCATGGTGAACCGCAATGATGCGAGATGTCCTGCGTTTCTTGCGCTCTAAGAGGTAAGAAAGGGCTATTCTTTGCGCAATGAACAAGAGCTCGAAATCCGTCTTGGCCGCGAAAAATCGAGTGAGATCCCGACCGCTTTGACTGAGCCAAAAAGTCAGGAACATCTGTTCAATGCTTGCCGTGATTAGGAGCCCGTCTGCCGACATCCTGGTGATGATTACACTGAGCCAAGAGGTTTACTATACACTGCACGTGATACGGGTCTGGCCTACCTACCGAAGCCCTGAAACCTTTTCACAGTCAACCTGGTGAACTTAGTTACCATACCAATGAGGTTTCCGCATAATTTCAATACGAGATACCTCGAAGCCGATGCAGGGATATATATCGCAAGCACCCTCGACCAGGTCCGCTTGATTTGACGAGAAAGACAGAGCTCTTGATCTGGTACGCGGCTTGTCTGTCTGCAATCACCTAGGTAAACACTATCCTCTCCTCACGGAAAACAAGATGCATCCCAGAGGTGATGAGCTCTCTAAGCTCGAATGCCCATAGAAGGCACATCTCCGCCGGTAAGGTCTACTTCAAACAGTTGACCTTTCTCATCTCTCTGGACCCGAGCTGAAGCGTCGATGCAACTCGTACACTGTACCTGGGACAATGGTGCTTTGAAAGTCTCCTTCATTATCATGGGGTGGGTCATTGGACGCCAGACACGTACTTGGACCGCTGTGGGTGGTAAATCCACGAAGGGATATAGAACAAGACTCTATCACCTTTTTCAGAACCCACTGGTGTTGAAACAACTACACCGAACGTCATATTTCCTTTTTTTGTGCTCCGTACCCGCTGATGAGGACTCGGCGAAATCGCTCAGTCTTTGCTTGCTGTGACGAATTTCACGTCGCACTGAAACAACTGTGGTAGGAAGTTATGTCCGCCCTCCTATCATGGTATTGTCAATACCGTCTATCGCTGGTAATTCCATTTGGCAGAAAATCGAAAGCTTTTTCAGTCATAAGGCGTCAGCTCTCTTCACAGGCACCTCGTGGCTTCTCAAATCGGTTTTAGTATGCGCAATAGCGAAGGAATTTTTCTTGTCCGGCCACTGAGTTAGCTTTGGATCCCAGTCAAGCTGTGGGTGTGGAGTGACAATTTTGATGCCCGGATACGTTGTAACGTTCAAATGCAGTTCGAAATTTGTTGCTGGTATGGATGTGGATGAACTCGGCGATTCCTGCTAGTCGGCACACGCAAGATTTCCATGCGGTACATCCACAGCCTATTCGTTGGTTTTATAGAGAAAGCCTATTCCCTCATCGGGGGTGGGAGTCTAATAGAATTCCTGGATCCAGATTGTATAATTCGGTATCCGGATTCCTCTTCGAGGCACGCATAATTTCAACCATTCCTGTCGTGTGGGGCTTCTATTTCCTATGTTTGGGATGTTCAGAAAGCACTGCTCACTGCTAATTGGGAAACTTTATATCCCGAACAGAGAGCGAATAGTCATCCGCCATTGCGGGTCTTTTCATAGGATGGCCATTATTTCGAAGGGGATGAAAGAACTGTGTCTGATATCTCCTGCTTCTGATTTCCTCGAAGCCAAGTGCATTCGAGGGCCCGGTTCGAAATGTGGGTCGGCTCCGTTGATCGAAGAAGAGGTTGAAGGAGATCTATAGGACCTAATTCAGGAGTTCGTGGCAATATTGAACGCCAAAATCCACTTGGAAGAAAAGGTCAAGGAATCAGAACTTAACCCAAGGGATGTCAATTTGACTGTGTCGGAAGCACGACGATACTACTCGGCAGGCCAGAAGAGAGCAACAATCCGTCAGTGTTCGTTGACCTAACACGTCGGTTCGCTTGACTATTATTCGCCGTTGCCGACTACACCTTTCGCTTCACGCTCTATCAAATCATCAAGGGCGATCGTATCTTCCAATGCGCGCAGGCTGTGAGGGCGGCATTGGCAATGATTATTACCCATATGGATTGAGTTTTACATTACAAGCGGTACATATCGGCTCTATTCCCATTCTTGTGATAGCCTGGCATGACTTGGTGTCGGGACATAACATCCCTTTCTTGGTGTACGCATTCTTGCGGCTCCGGTGTTGTGACCGCCAATTGTCCGTGCATGGGATTAAGGGGTATCTTGGAACCTGACCTGGGAACATATCTACATCTATCTACATCTATCAACAAGAATCAATTGACTTTGCTTTGGAGCATACACACTGTCCACTTAACTGTGTACACAGTACCTAGCTGGTGATACCAACACTTGGAATCGGATGGCAATTTTTGATCCTACTCGACCGAACGCTGAAACGGCTTGAGTTCGCTATGCCCAAGAACTATCGTATCTCCCGGCCTACAGGGGGTACTATGTCTTCCAGGATGAAGACTCAAGTTCGATCTCAGCTCGGTTGTTGAACAACTATTGGGACATGATTTGCGGACCCACATCAGAGCAGGGTCACCTTGTTACAAGTGGCTGATAGAACTCATCCACCTTGCAAGTCGCATCTGTTCCGGTACAAATTTCAAGCAACGCCCATTCTCCCTGATTCCTTCTTGAGTTGAAAATGCAAACATGTGTGATATGAAGCCCGACCAGGAGCACCGTCATGCGCATTCTCAACATGTTGATGTATAGCTGTCGGGATTCCTTACACTGGCTTAATCCTTAACCCAAAGGAAAGTCAACACAGTCCAAGTAGGTTTAATGGACGACCTTCCTTTCTATGATGCGTACTATCACTTGACTGTCGTCTAGTTAGCGCTTTTCGCATATACTGTCCAGTTTAAAGGGGGAGGTCAAGTCATGGCCGAGATCCCCGTGAGGACATGGATACCGATCGCCTCTTCCTCGACTATTTTCAGTTGAGTTGACGAATGTATTCTGCCAATTCTGATGCTCTAACAACGCTTTCTTTTATGACCTATTTTTTGTACCGTCAGATTTCCTCTGCGCTAGGGGGGAAGTGCCCCAGTTGTTTTGAGCCTACGTAGTCCGCTTATCCTTCTTATCTGTCATGTGCGCATTCCTCTCTAACAGGTTTCTCCGAGTCAGAGCCATACTGTACCCACGACTACCCTTGCTTTTTCCATGTCATACAATTACATCGCATTCATTGGTCACCTACCTCATTAACTTCAGACCACCGCCGCCCTTACACTCTCTCCCCATCATATGATAGCATATGTTCACACCCAACTCTATATATCACAATTCTATCGCCAGTACAGCATCTCTACGAGGCGAGATCACATAACAAGCACACGCCATCACGTACGAGCATCGATTCATCAAGAATCCTCCCTCAAAACCCTCGCCTGCACAAGCGGACTCCCCTCAATCCTCCCAAAATCATGCGCATCCAAACAAGCCTGCCTCGACGCCAGGAAACTCGGCTCGACGCGCTTAAAGATCTCCTTTTCATACTTCTCCAACGAAGTAGCCAACACCTCGGAGTCGAAGCAACTGCCTAATTAGTACGCGTCACCATTTCAGCCTGGCCGTCACGTACCTCTCATTCCGGAAATCAACATTCTTCACTAAATCCAACACATCAACGATGGCGTTATTCGCTCCTTCGCCGCGGACTATATGTCCAGAGTCAGTAAGTACATTACGAGTACTGTGTTGAGGAAGGACATACACATCGTCATAGTATGTGCAGCATCACCCATAAGCGTAACCCTGGGATGCAAATTCGGTCGTCCAGGAGCGAACATCCAATCCTCAATGCGAATCGATCGCGCCTCTGCATCAGGTGGTAACTTGTGCACGAGTGACCGAAACGGCTCAGACCAATTCTCCGAAAGACTCTTCATGAGCGCGATGCGATCGACGTTCTCTTTCGGCACGGCAATGCCCTTGCTATCGGCCCAGGATATGATGATCTGCACGTGGTATCGGTCGCGACTGCTTTCGTTGAAGTTGGAGGGTGTATCGAGGACTAGTAGCAGTGTTAGTACTGAGAGGCTGAGCGAGATGGTGGTCGAACACACAACTAAAGAAAAGAAAAACATCCGTCTCAGGATGCGATCCCTGGAATATGAACGGGTCGATGTTTTGCACGCCACCCATTTCTTCTGCGGAATATAACGTTGAAGCACCGAGCAGCTGCACAGGTAATGGGTTCATTTTCGCATCGGGATACAAAATTGATCGCGCAACAGACCGTGCCCCGTCGCACGCGACCAGCAGCTCACCGATATACTTTTCCCCATCCTCAAAGACCGCCGTGACACCCTTCTCGTCTGACCAAATCTCGCGTAACGTCTTATTCCACTGCCATATCAATCAGCACCCACCTCCTGATTCCGGACAATCCAATCGTTGTTATACCTTAACATCCAACCCCGTGGTAAGCAGTTCCCTCAACCTCCCCCGATTAACCCGTATCCTCTCCTCAGCCGGGACATCAAACAACGCTCGTCCGGAACTTAGATCAAAAAACTGGAACCGCCCCGTATCACCGCGCGCCGCCGCATCCTTATTCACGAACGTCTCGGGGAACCGATCGACGATCTCGGCGGGGAGAAGGGTGCGGAGTGCAGGAGTGCCCAGTGCAGTGTCAGTCCCCAGCCGCCGGTTCGAGCGTCGAGGGCGGAGTCACGGTCGAAGATCTTGAATGGGATGCTCTGCGAATGGAGGTACTGGGCGAGGATTAGGCCTGAGATGCCTGCGCCGATTATTAGAATCATAGCCGTTGATGAGTGACGATACTGTCAGAGATGCCTAGGGTTGGTATGGACGAGACTTTGTGGACGAGGGGGATCTGCGTCGCACCAAATCAGAAGGATCAGACGTACAGTAGGCTATGTGTATGCCTGATTTGATGCATGCGACACTAGATGAGACTAGATTAGACCAGTCCGAATATATTAATCAGATGCGGGAATTTTAGCAGCGCTTTGTGTGGCTGAAAGGGGATATCAGCTTACACTTTCAAAGTTCCTGACAATCCAATTTCCATCACTACGCATTTCCAAGGACCACACCATCGTAAATCGCGTAGAGAACTCAGTCGCATCTTAACCGCATGCAAATACCAAACTGATCAGATCGCATTCCCAATCCGCTCACCCACCCGGACTCCGGCGACACGCGACCCACGATCGGCGTGGGCGTGACTTAATCCCTGTCCCTCGCATCGATTCGTCGCGAGCCAAAGGATGGCGCATTAGCTTCTATTGCGGGTCGGGGTCAGAAGTGTTAAGTGGTCGATCTCGCTACTAGCGTGGCGTAGTGTTTACTAGCGCAGATGGGGCCGAGTGTAGCCAGAAGCCCGAGCCGAACAGAGTGGATTGAGTTTATCGGGCGCGGTCTCTTCAGTCTAGCGTGAAGTATATACCCTTGTACACGCAGAAGCTAGGAATGATTGGAAATGATGAATGTGGATGCGGCCATCCTCACATTGATATCTTCCATACATTAGTCCGTCTAGGCTCATGCATCCCACCCAAAAGAGGAAAATCCCGTATGAAGTCGCATGTCTCCCCTGAGCCACTGCAAAACAATATATCGCGCTTGATCCTCCAGGATCACCTCAACCAAGGGTATCTCTCGAAACACGATATTCCACCGTCATCGCAATCCCACCCAGCTCTGGCTCGCGACTCGCAAGAATAAGCTCCTCGCTCGGCGTGCGTTTGGGGGCCGATGCTTGACTCTGTGCCTGCGACCGGGTCTCTTTCCATGTTTCCATCGCGTAGCTCCTCCCGTTGCTGTTGTAGTATTTTCTTCCGCTGGTTGAGCGGAAGTCGCGGACGTAGCCTTTCAGAAGGGGGCGAGGTAGGGGATGCACGTTACGATGTTCTAACGACAGGCAAGTTAGCACAGCACTCACAAAATCGAAGGAAGCAAGAAGTGACGGGTCCATACGCCAACATTAAACTCAATCGTCCCCCAAAGAACCAACATCGTCGAATTTCCATCCCCAAACGCAACGCGATGGATCTGTGTTAGGCGAAGGATCGAGCAGATAGTTGTGAACAATCCCAGGAGGAAAAGACAAACAACGCCTGCTTTTTGTGCGGGTTTGATATTCAGTTTCAGGAGTAGCGGGATCGGTAGGAAGATAACCACCACGTCACAGATGATGGTGAAGATCGCGAGGCCGTAGAATGTCGCGCCGACCGGTAGGCACGAGCCCGGTTCAGTGGGATGCCACGCTTTGTGGACGGGTGTACAGTTGAAGATGAGAATCAGGGCGCCGACGATGTGTCCGATTGTACAGAGGACAATAACCACCCATATTAGGATCCGGTAGCGGCTCTTAGATGTACCTTCCAGCAGGCGCAGGTAGCTTAGACAGAGTGAAGCTTTGAAGCCCGCGATGCCGATTTGGTAGAAGGGGCGACCGGCGTAGTTTAGCTGTTATCGTCAGTCGCTGCTAGAGTTCGATGGCAGGGACATAACATACCTTTGTATACGTATCGAGGTTCAGCTTAGGACGCAACTTTAGCGGAAGGCCAAGTCCGTATCTCGATTCTGCGATTTTCAGCATTTCACTCGCCCAGCAAGATCCGGGGTACTCACGGGATATACAAAGGGCACTGTAAACAACACTAAATATCTGGAACTGTCAGTACCCTCGCCAACTTCATAGTGCTTTGCCGCGCGAGTACTCACCATGCTAACAACCATAACCCAATCCGCCGCACCCAGCCGACTCGCCTGCGCCCGCATAAACAACCTCAGCCCAACGGTAACAACCATCAACACCGTCAGACTCAAACAAACCCCCAGCACAACGGGGTACTGCGACGCAGCCTCAACGTTGGGACTGGCATTGTAAACCCATCCCATGGCGAAGATGCGAAGAAGCAATCCAAACCGATCCACGTGGAGGGAATGCCAGTGTAATAACACGCGGCGTGATGTCGGAATGCACCGTAACAAATTCCTTTGCCCCTTGCGCCGATCCACCAACCCCCGAAGGAAGAACCGAGAATCGATTTCACACAGGCCTGAGATGAGTTTGAACTCTACCTCGACGAGAAGAGACCCCACAGCTTTCACGAATCTCGAATCCTTCGTCGCGATCGGGCGCTCTCGCCGATCCGTTTCACCCCACCCGGTCGCACTGTCACACCCTGAGCCAACCAGGCAAGGTGCACGTACCGTGCATTAGCCTGTTTCTGTTTACATGAGTGTCAATGCTAGCGTTGTACCCGTACTAGCACTGACAAAGTTAAGTACTTTCCGGAGATTGTAGGGGAAGGTACAAGTAGCGGAACTCAGACCTGCAACCCCATTTTAAATCTTCTCGCCACAACCAGCCCATCCCAGTCTGCATTCAATCCAACAGCTCAACAGCTCCAAACTGTCTCGAAGGAAGTCTCGTGCTGTGCGCGATGGGCGAGAAACCACCCGTCCAAGCGGACACCAACGAGGACGCGGTAGCGTACCTAGCCACAGCGCATGAGTCGGAAGTTTCCGTCGATCTGAAGGCGTTGAGACGAAAGATCGATTGCCGATTACTGCCGTTTATGTTCTGCTGCTATGTTCTGCAGTTCCTCGATAAGGTCATGTTGAATGTAAGTCACCATTACTTCAGATCTGATCTGTCCGACGTCGATCAGGTCAGATCTGGTCAGCAGCATGCAGACCAACGCTTTTCACATCATGGCTAACCATGTATGATCGAGATCAGTACGCAGCAGTGATGGGCATAAAAACCCACCTCAACTTACGAGGCAACGAATTCTCCAACACAGCATCCTGGTTCTTCATTGCCTACCTGATCGCGGAAGTTCCAAACGGTATGACCATTGCTTCCCCCTGAATATCAACACAAAACACACCACTAATTCATCCTCAGTCTACCTGCTCCAAAAAATACCCGCCGCAAAATGGCTCGGCATCAACGTCTTCCTGTGGGGCGTCGCAGCCGCCGCCTCAGCGGGGGCTAGGGACTACCCAACGCTACTGGTGTCGCGCATCTTCCTAGGCATATTCGAAGCAACCGTCGGGCCCAGCCTGATGCTGATATCAAGCCAATATTATACCAGGAGTGAACAAGCACCCCGCTTCACGTTCTGGTACATGGGGCTCGGCGTCGCGCAGATCCTGGGCGGGATCATTTCGTTCGGATTCCAGCACGTCACCGGCGCGAGTATGGAGGGCTGGCGGATAATGTTTCTTGTCCTGGGACTGATCACGGCCGTCGTTGGGGCGTTAACATTCATTTTCATCCCCGATACACCGATAAAGGCATCATGGCTCTCGTCGGCTGAGAAGGTCGCACTGCTACACCACGTCAGCGAGAACCAGACCGGCATCTGGAGTTCAGCTGTCAATCTGTCCCAGATAGCTGAAGCACTCCTCGACCCGCAGTTGTGGCTGCTGACACTCACGACAATCCTAATCTCCGTTTCCTCGGGTGTGGTAACAACCTACTCCTCCACTCTCATCGCAGGCTTCGGCTTCAGCGGCCCCATCTCTGCCCTCCTAAACACACCCTCCGGCCTAGTGAGCATCTTCTTCACATTGCTCGTCGGCATCGGTATCCGCAAAACCTCCAATAGATGGGCCTGGAACATCCTCTGCACGATACCAGGTATAATTGGCGGCGGACTAATGTCCTTCCTTCCGAAATCCAACACGGCGGGCGTGTTGATCGGAGTGTACCTCGTCAACGCGATCGTCGCGACACTGCCGATATTGTACCAGTGGACAATGGCCAACTGCGCGGGACACACGAAGAGGGCGTTTGCGAGTGCGCTTGTGGCCGGGTCGTTCTCTGTTGGCAATATTATTGGGCCGCAGACGTTTCAGGAGAGGGATGCGCCGGAGTATCGGCCTGCGAAGATTGCGGTGTTGGCGACGCAGGCTGCTGCCGCGGTACTTTCAGTTGTTTTGTTTGGGTATTATGTGCTTGTTAATCGCAGGCGCCAGGGGAAGGGAGAGGTTGTTGTTGAGGAGGTTAAATGGGCGGGTTTGACGGATAGGGAGAATTTGGCTTTTAGGTATGCTTATTAGTGAGATGTAAACATGTCGGTAGGGGGTCTTATACGTAATTCGAGCGATTGTAATCTTTACCTAATGTCGATGCACTCGTGTTGACGAGATGCGGATGTATATATAGCTGCAGTCAGAGTGCTGCCGACAGCGCCAAGGGTATACCACAAAAGAACAGGAAAGACAAAATGCAACCCACGCACCCATCCCCGGGATAATCTAATTCATTCAAGCTACCAAATATATGAACGGCCTTGTAAGTGGTAGTAGGGTGACGGGCAGGCATGAACGAAGTGCACAAGGCTTCATCCAACAGCCGTCCTCGCCGTTGAAGCAAGAAAAATTGTAGGCTTGACTCGTCCAGCATTGGTCTGTACGCTATTGTCCAACTATCGTTCTTCTCTATATAAAAAACCTGATAAAAGAGATACGCCCTGATAGGTGTCCCAGGGCAAGTGTATCACCATTGATCTCGAAACAGCCGGGCGGTGATTCGACAGGAAGCCAGAGAACTTTCTCACCATTCAATTTTATCCATTGGTCCCACTCAAAAATGATAGCTAGATTCATGTGAGGTTGATGAGGTATAGGAATGTCACTCCTGGATTGAATGTCAAGAATGCCAGCATTGGTGTGAGATGAATGTGCGGGGGAGGAGGATTCGACGAAGTTGCAGGTAGATCGTATCACATTGAAAGAACAGGCGTTTAAGCTCGTCGAAGGAACTTTGATTGTTATCTAGCAAGGCAGTCATAAATTCGAGCTTCCTCAGATGACTGAGCCACGAAGTAGTATGGGTTTTCTACTTACCAAATGTCCTGCTAGACTGGTTTGTGGCACGTTGAATAGTGTTACGGGCCGTTCGAAAGAAACAGATTCATTCGGTGCCTACAGGACGAGAATCCCGAAGATGAAGAAGGAAGGAGAAAGAAAGAACGTCCACCAGAAAAAGAGGGGTTAAGTCCCCAGCAAACGCGTTGTGCAAACGACCCAATATTATGCCTCAGGCATCCTTCCACGAGACGAGGCTATTCCCAGGTTCATCCGTCACAAAAAGGAAGAGAAGATTGCGATAAGAAAATGACCAAACAACGTGAGACGTACGAGCCAAAGAAAAAGGCAGGGTGCTGAACGAAAAGTTGGGACTCAGTATGAGGACAACAGTCTTGAGGCCTCGAAGTACACCCGAGTAAACGGCTCAAGTCAAACTGGAAATGCAATTAGAAGTGTGAAGAGGTGGCTGTATGGGAGGAACAATTTTAGTAGAGCCGTGGGCAGTAGAGTATGCCTTCTGTGTGTTCACACGGAGGCCTACTCACAATACGGCCGTGGACATGGTTGTACTTCAAGGATTTGCGGACCTTTGTGATGAACCGGACTGTTGAAAGGAACATATGTGTGAAAGGACCTACGTACGAGGAGCATGTGCAGGGCTGATCCCTGCCAGAGGAGGCCTAAGAGTTCCATACACATGAGAATAGGCGAGTCGACGAGATCATATGCCAATTGAACTCACACAAATGGAAGGTCCCGTAGACGCCTGCTGCAGCGTCGTATTTGTTTTCTTCCCACGCGTCTCTCTCCTCTCCCACTTCTTTCCCTCTACTCATAATCAATCTCCTCACGACTTCAAGTCTTCAAGTCGATTTCTCGACTGTCTTGATGAGCTGAGGGGAACACCTTCACTGCAACGTCGACCAGACACCCTCATTCCGTGTCTGTGTCTCCTTTGTCCACTGACTTCTGCTAATTCGCACTTCTACCACTCTGTCCTCCATCTTCACAGCACACACTTACATCTCCCCTCCCTCGCTCGTCGCCCACCCTTTTTCTTCTTCATGCTGCACCACGCCCCTCTTGCCCTTCCCTCTTCAATCTCACTCCCCATCATCTGTCTTTCCTTCCTCACCTCCCCTCATCTCCCCAAACATTCCTTTTTCCCCCTTCATCTCTCTCCCATCCTCTGCTCACGGTCTTTTTCTTCTACAATCTCTCCTTTCCCCTCTACACTCACTTCACAAGCTGACGGCAACCCCCACACGGACTGTAAGTCCATCATAATAACCCTCCTCTGCGTCCCTTACTCCCCTGCCTTCACCTCCCATTCCCCATCCCACATCTTCCCATCCACCACTCTCGTCCTCATCCTCATCCTCCACCAACACCATCCACCCCATCCTCCATCCCGAAAATCACCATCCTTCGTTGGTTAATTTTGCATCTGCATATACTGCTACATACTGATATGCATGTCCTCAAACAGTCTTGCGCCATATCTGTTTGTCACTTACAATACAAGCTTCAGATAATGGTAAGTATCACAACTCGAACAGTAATCCCCAACCTGACATCCCTTTGTCACTGACACCTCCTTCCTGTGGCTTCATAGTCATGGTGTCATTTTCACGGGGACACCATATTTAAAAGCAGTGCCCATCTGTGATGGCCGACGTCAGCTCGACTCGTCAAGCTCCTCCCATCGGGCCTATGTCTAGGCCGTCGAAATGCCACCAACATCTTGCATTCAGACCTATGCGTTGGCAATAGCCACAGCAAACGATGTTTGAAGGTCGATCGGACTATCCGTATTGTTCATGGCTGCAGTAGCCCGGCCAGATAGGTTGCCCGGCTGTATCGACGTTCTTACATCGCAGTCCTTGGCCCACTAGTGCCATCTTTTCATTACAAGCATTGATTGCTTCCCGTACAAAGTAAGTATCCCTACTCCTATTCCTGCATTTGGAAGTTCGTCGTTATCCCTACCCTGCATGTTATTTTCTATTACCTGCCCATGGTTCCAAAGTATGGCGGATCCAATGCACCGAGGGTCTGAGCCCAAGGCTTGTTCCATGTCTTCCGCTCTAATAGAACCGTGCTATGTCAAAGTCAACACCACGTCTTTCGCAACCGCCGACATCTTCTGATTGGAGAACCGCTCTCTTGTCTTTCAAACTGTTAATTAAAGATGTGGAAGCTGATTTGTCGTCGAACAATCTTCACATCAGCTTCCCATCGATTGACAGGTTATATTGGCTCGGTCCGAGGAGGATTTCGAATACATTGAGGTGAATTATGGCATATCCCCGAAAGCCCGATTTTCACAATTCGCTTTTCATTTTGTCACATCTCTTGACATTCGGTCAACATCCATTGCTGACACTTGATGTTCTATTCTCAGTACCCTGTTTCGCACTTGCGGGGCAAAGCCTACCTCTGAATCGGGAATACCGGTCCTCCTGCCTCTCAATTGGTCTGGAATACTATGGAGGCTAATCAGCCTCTTTATCTATGTTCACATCAGTTCCCACGGGATTGACGAGGGGACATGGCTCAACGAGAGGGGCGTATGAGAGGTCTGAGGTGATTTACATTGACCATCCAAACCACCAGTGTCAAAGAAACACCAAAACGATACCGTCTTGTGAGCGTCAGGACTCCATCCAGTCCGCTTCCAATTCTAACACACATCCGATCTAACCCTCATACTCTTCGACCATGTCATGCTCTGCAAACCTGACAGAGAAAAAAAGATTTCTCAAACGCACGGCTCTCCTCGACGCAGCCACTCCATGTTGTTACTCCGTGGACCGTGCGAATATTGAAACCATCCTATGTCTGTCACTCTCCCAAGGGGCTGTTTATGGAACCCCACCTCCGATCCGGGAGCTGTTTCTCTTGTCTTCTACCTCTTTTTTGTGCCAATTGACCAGTCTCTGAATGATCATCGCATCATTTTTCATGGGTTTGATAAGTGAAACTGGCCAGGGCGCGAGGGGGAAGTGACATTACCAATGCTTATGGGACATTCCTTTCCATAAGACTTCTATCATGACTGTCTCGTATGCCGAGATCGTGATATTTTTCTATGATTGAAAATGTGAGTCCCTGACACCTTTCTTTTGCCGTCATTACTAACATGTCATTCTCCGGCTCTTACAGATCCTCTTTGGCCGCATCCAGGGACTCAGCCGTCTCCACGCACTTTTGAAGTCACCCAGGTGACATTAATCACACATCCACGGACGCGAGGAAACTGCAAGATCGAAACACATCATTTGTCCTCTCACCCTTGTTTGACTTGGTGCTTACAGATTCTCCTGGCTCTACGCTGCAGGGGCTGATCAGTCTAAAAGGGCTATATACAGCAGACACTTTCACATCAGACTCTGCGGTGATTGGCCGGGGCTGCTGGCTCAGATTGAATGTGCGAAATGGACTTGATGGGACATTCCAACATTCACCTCCTAAGACGTGGTGAGCCAGAGCATCGGTTCCTCCGTCATTTGTTTTCGAGTCTGTGTGATGCTTTCGACATGCGAGAAACACTCTAGAAGCTTGGATATGCTACCCAACCGCACGCCAAGTCGAGGAATAGCTGATGTCCACAGCTTTACCTTTCCAACTACGTGCGAATATCGGGACCATCCCCTGTCTGACGTTGAATTGTACATTGGCAACTCTTCCCACTCCACTAAGTATAGTCGCGACAAGGGGTTATGGGACATCTATCGAACAAGTTCCACAATCTCTTCTTTCTTAAAAAAAGGGGGAAAAAAGGAAAGAAAGAAGGAAAGAAAGTAGAAGAAAAACAGGAAAAACAGGGGGAAAAAAAAACCCCACAACAACATTTCCTCCAGTGGTTCTTTCACTTCTCGGCGAAGCAAGCCATCATTGTCGAAAAACGGGTCAAATCTCCAAGTCAGAGTCTCGCGCTACTGAAAAGGTGGAGACAAGGTGAGGATCATACCTTGATCTCTGTAATCGGGGCGCAGATCAACACCATCTTTTCGTCTTCAACACCCTCTCTCATTTTCCGTTGCCTGGGACATACTTCCGTTCTCGACCGCGAGCTGAGGGATCGATCTGTCTTTGGACACCTTTACATCGCTCCCTCAGTGGCCCGCCACGGGAGATCTAGATCCAAGTCACGAGGGGTGCATGGACAAGATGGGACATCCCTCCTCGGTCCATTCTACTGAACGGCTCAAGTTTCTACTAATGTACTACCATGTTGCAACGAT